AAACGGTAACTCAGTTTTTAAGAGAACGGAGCGTCCGATTTTAATAATTCAAAAAACATTTTACTTGTATTGACAAGGTAAAGAACCGATCAAATTTTCATGAAGGCAGGTCTAGCGGTTTCGGAGATCTAATGAAAAAAAAAATGCCATTTGGCGGTCAAAAACGATCATTAGACATATGCACATCAAATTATCAAATATTTTATAGAGATTTTAACAATAAATATGAATTTGGTTTACAGTCCTATGGGTTCCGTACCAATGTTTACGCGTTAGACGTCGACGCGGCGCTTATGCGGTTTGATATTTCGTCTTTATGCAGTTAAAGCAGTACGATTGCTTTGAAAAAAAAGTTTAGATCTTTCAAAATATGTCAAAATTTCAAAAAAAAAAAAATTAAAAAAAAAAAAATTTTCAAAAAAAAGTAATTTTTTGTCTAATTGTTTGTCAAAAATCTTATTTTTTCGAAGTAAATTTTTTTCAAAAATGTTAATTGTTTTTAAAAAAATAATAATTTTTGGTACGGGAAGTTCCAGCAATTTGCCTTAAGGCACGATGCCTTAATTGCCTTAAGACAGAATTCCACTTACAGCTAGTCTAGGCCTAAAATGCACAAATGCTTATAAGTGTACAAACAGAGGATTGTATAAAATGTAAACAATTAATATATATGTATCGTATCCGATTAGGATGAATTCATAAGATGATTTAATCTCATATTTCTAAGACATAAATGTAGTAACATAAAAATGATTGATTTTTAAAATAAGTATCTTTATCGGATAATTAATCTTATATAAAAATGAATTTGGCCAATCCTTATTTTTAAATGTCAGTTGAAGTCTAAGGATGGTTCTTACGACGAGAAAAAATCGAATAATCGTCGGGAAAACCCTAAAAACCATTTTCTTTTTCTCATACAAACGTTTTCTAACTAAAACTTAGAATCAATTTGAGCTTCATTGCTATTATATAAAGTTCATATTAAATCACAACCACTCACACTATACTCCTTCTAAACGCTTATGCGGATTTTGATAAATCTTTCTGAAGTTTGTTAAGGAAATTTTCTAGGATGTATGTGATTATAAAGTACTGGGATGTATGTTCAATATTGTAGAAATAAATGGAAAAAATTTCTAAAAACGACATGTCATTGTTTGCATTGGAAACAAATAAAAACTATCATCTGCCAAAAATTTCAATTTATTTATGAACCTAGACAATATTAGAATATATATAATAAATGTATGATTGTGAATAAGAAAAATGAAATGTCTTCATTATTATTGCCAAAAAGCAGCTGAGATATGGCAGAAATTAAAATAATATAAAATACAGTATATGTATGTCAGATTGAATGATACACATATGATCAATTCACCTAAAATATGAAATTAAGTATTAAAATTTAGTTTTGTTCGCAAATTTTAATTTATTTTTAAAAATTTTAAGTATTTTTACGGAATTTTTGAAATAAAACGATTTGATTTTTTTTTAATTTTAAATGTTTTTGATATTTTTGATAAAATTACGAACATTTGAAAAAAAATGCGTATTTGATTTTTTTCGAAAATTTGAATGTTTTAAAATTACTGAACTGCGTTTCCCAAAAACTAATCATTTTTTCACATCGCTATATATACACAATAGCTATACACAAAATAAAAACTGAACGCTTTCAAAATGTGTACATAAATCAAGTATCAGGAGTTCCACAAGAGAGTGTTTCAGGGCACTATTGTATCTCATATACACACACGACATTCTAACTGATAGTAATGTAATAATTGGAACGGCAAATGTTTAACAATATGTCTCCGAATTTGAAAAGTGGCTCAATAAGTGGAAGATAAAAATAAATGAAACAGAATCTAGCCATATAACATTCACAATAAGAACCCTGGACTGCCCAAGCGTAAAATTGAACAACATAGAAATACCAAAATATGAGAGCGTAAAATACCTTGAGATTTATCTGGATAGAAAATTAAGCTGGTCAACGCACATCAAAATGAAAAAAAAAAACGATGGAAAAAAAGTTCAAAGAGTTGTATTGGCTAATTGGCAGGAATTCAAATGTGTTATGAAAACAAACTCCTTTTATATAAAACAATAATTATACCAATCTGGACATACGGAAATGAGCTATGGGCGCGCGCAAGCAATTCAAATATAAAATTAATACAAAGAGCGCTATCAAAAATTTTAAGATGCATTGTCAACGCACCCTGGTATATTACAAATGACACTCTACATCAAGGATGAGCAACCCGCGGCCCGCCGAGTGTTTTTCTGCGGCCCGCCAAGCATTTCTCAATAACATATTATTTTCTAGATATTTTATCAAATACGGCTGTAAAAGCTAATTTTGTCGTCAGTCAAATTCTGGTACAAACTGTTGTTCGAAAAAATAGCATTTCCTAATAAAATAAATATTAATTTATTTAAATATTGTTTAACAAGCTTCAATATTGCAAAACAAATTGAGAACTTGTCCGAGAACATAGCAACAACGCATTTCTAAATTTAAAATTATTCAATAAGTAAATCTTATAAAGTCGCGAGGGTTAAATCATCGTAAATTTAAAGACATCCTGGCAATTAAATTTGTGAATGTGTCGATTTTTAATACTAAAGTACGTTAGCTCAATAGTGATGGAATGCTTCAAGGAGTAGACGACTCGAATAGCGAATTACAATTGTTTTTGGATATGAAATAATAATTATAGTTATTTCGTCATTTTGGTAATAAAGAATAATATCTTTTGCAGAATCTTGTGTTTAACTTTTCATATTGAAAAAAAGAAAATGTGAACAAATTTTAATTGTGATTTCAAATGTTCAAAGCTAACAAGACAGCTGTTTTCATGTAAATATTTTCTTCGCCATTTAACATGCAAAATAATACAGATTTAAAAAGTGCATATTTTCAATAAACATCGAATTTTTTTATAATTCTTATGTCAGCCCTGAGAACTTTTCGCTTTTGAAAAAAAAAAAACGCGAATCAAATTTTGATTCAAATTCTTTTTTTGGAAGTACGTATGTGTGCAAACAATTACACAGGTCCATAAAATAAAAGTCGCTGGATAATAATTAATTCATTCAGAAAAAAATCTAGATCGAAGATTGTGTACGTTTTTAAATGTTTTTCAATATTTTGTGCCCCAATTTTGACTATAGATTTATCTTCAGCGGCAAAAGGTACATTGGAAGACACACACCCAATTCTGACAACTCTTTTTTGTGGACCTGTGTTAATTTCAACTATGAAATTCATAAAAAATTAGCACCTATCAAATCTGAGTAAAATATATCAAAGCTGCATACGCATTGCTACTTTCCGCATTAAAAAAAATAAAATAAAGAACAAAATCTAAAAAAACGGCTGATATTGATCAGCTCAACAAATGCAGTGCCAATTTTTTTATTAAACTTTTTAAGTAAAATTGATTTTCTTTTAAATATTATTTGTTTTCATTTTATATTAATATTTATAAACACTTATTATATAAAATATATACTTTGTTCAATTTTATATTGTTGTTCTTTTCTTGTGGCAATTTTGTAATTTTGTTGCAGTTATATTATTCCCGCACTCAGTCAATAAAGCTTTTTACTTAGTTTTAGATCAGACTTTTATCAGAGTTTATGAAAAAACTTCAATTTTATTAAAAAAAAGCAATTTATTTTTATTATGGCTTGTACAATAATATTTTTTTTTAAATCTTGTTCTTTATTTTAATTTTTTTATGCGAAATGAAAAACTACTCGCAACTCACATTTTTATGATTTTATAATAGTCATTTAGCAGTCCAATTATTTTTTATATAGCTCGGTAATCGATCAATAACTATTATCGCCTTTTTGTGAACGTTTTTATTGAAATTCGATCAAGATTTTTCTGAGCTTATAAGAGAGCTTAATTTATCCGCTCTATCCGCTGCAACATTTATAAATAGTAACGAAATGGTTACCTCCGATAAAACTAACTGATTTGCAGACTTATCCTATTGTACAAATATTTCTCGATGTCTCACAAAAGGAGCTATTTCAGGAAAAAATAGAAATTTGATTTTAAAATCAGGAGACAAAACTATTTTTTAAAGAAAACTGGATTTTTTTTCAGAGTATAACATAATTACAATATGGATGTTGGTGTTGGTGTTGGTGTTGGTGTTGGCGTTGCAGTGGGTAAATTATCAACGTAATAATATTTATACATTCAGAATTAGTTAGTCATTTCTTATACCAATGATTTTCTAAAAATATTTTCTGTAGCTAAACGTTCGACGGGTCAGCTAGTATATATATAAATTACGTGCGGCCCGCCATAAAATTTGAAAATTTAAATTGGCCCGCCGGTTAAAAAGGTTGCTCGCCCTTGCTCTACATGAAGACTTAAAAAATAAAACTATTGATGAAATGATAATAGAAAAGAGCAAAAGATGCCACAAAAAATTACCAGGTCACCCAAACAAATTGTTAAAAGATTTAAGCGTGGAATCTCCTAATCGAAGATTGAAAAAAAAGGCCATATGATTTTAAATAAAATGTCAAAAAAAGAGATAACTCATAGAAGATAATCTCTTAAATGCATCTTCAACCAGCAGATGAACATTATTTTGATCGGCAATAAATCTAGGCAAATAAAATGAATCAAGTACACATTGATATTTACGTGACAAAATACAGCTTTCCTATTGGACAATGAAAGTTTCGGCCACAAAACAGTTTATAGGACATGCTCTATTCGTAAAATTCGGCAAGAATTTTCGAGGACAGAAATTGTTTTAAAATCAGTTACCGACATTACTAGGTTTTAGACAGAAATTATGTTAAGGATACCGCCGTTGCAAATAGGAAGCTTAAACGTGAAATCTGGCTGGCAAGATCGTAAAATATGTCGGGCAAGATCGTAAATTATGGTTTATCCTAATCAGGAAATCTGGCGTAGTGTGCACCGGGCTTAAATCAATATTTATTTTATTACTTACCGGTGAGAAACACAAAATGATGTGCAAATTGGCCCTGGATCTCTCTATAAAGAAGTCGTATAAGTTGTCACCAGTTGGTACTCGTTTTGGCTGTGCCTTTTTCATTTTGGGAACTAAATCTGATGTTATCTCATCTATAAAAGAAAATTAGACGTTGTTAAAAACTGTATGGTAAAATTTATGAATTATAATGAATTTATTATATTACCTAATTCGTCTTTCGGGAACAAATTTGCAATTTCACCAGAGCTTAGCACGTTGTTTAGGTATTCCAAAAATCCTTCGTCTTTGATGTCGTTGTCGGTGAAAATGAATGATATACCCTGAAAAGGAAATAATTGGGGTGAAATTGTTTAAAAAAAAGTAACTTTGTAGGGTTTGTTTTAATTAGACTAACAGGGAGCACCTTAGGTTTTCTCTTGAGGGATTTAGATGAAACTACGCATGTTGATAGAGTAGATAGTCAAAATGAAGCCATTGAAATATTATAGGTCTTATTATACAAATTAAGTAGTGCCTTAAGGCAAATTGCTGGAACTTCCCGTACCGTATTCGAGGAATGAAAGTAATCAATAATTGTTTTAAATAATTTCAAATAGATTATTTATTATAAATACATACTGTAAATTTATAAGTGCTTATTAAATTGGGCGACGAACGTATTCTACAAACTTACGTGTGTATGTTTACAAGAAATGTGTTAAATTTTTTTTAATTTGAATTTTTAGATGATTTTAAATTTTTTTCAAAATCTTATTTTTTTTCAAAATTTTGAAATATTTTAAAAATTTTGATTTCTTTTTTAAATTTTGATTTTTTTTAGATTTTAAATTTTGAAATTTTTGGAAAAAATAGATTTTTTTAAATTTTTTGAGAAATTGGGAATATTTGATTTTTTTTAATACATTTTTTTGAAATTTTGAAATTTTTTCAAATTTAGAAGATTTTTCTTGTAATTTTTGGAGAAAAAACGATTTTTTTAAATGTATGTTTAAAAAAGTTCTTTTTTTTTAAATTTGATTATTTTGATAATTTTGAATTTGTTTAAAACTTCGAAATTATGACGAAAATCGATTTTTTTAAATATATGTTTACAAGAAATTTGTCCATTTTTTTTTTAAATTTGATTTTTTTGATAATTTTAAGTTTGTTTAAAACTTCGAATTTATGAAAAAAATAAGTTTTTTAAATGTATGTTCACAAAAAAATTGTTCAATTCTTTGATAATTTTGAAATATTTTTTGCACACTATCTATACCGGCAAAAGATTTTTTGAATTAATCTAATCGGATGATCCGTTCTCTCAAAAACTGCATAACCATTTTTACACCCTTTGCGCTCCATATCTCCGAAACGGCTAGACGTGCCTTTTGCAAAAACGCTTTGCAATCGAGTACGAACCGAATATTTTTTCAATCATACAAATCGGCTATCCCATACTGTCGAAAATGTCGAGAACATTTTTTGAACCATATAAATGATCTTGAAAATTAAAAATCTTGGTACGGAACCCAAAACAAATTGACACAAAATGTGTGCACATTATTAAAATCTATATAAAATATCTGATAATTTGATGTGCATATGTCCAATGAACATTTTTGACCGCCAAATGGCGTTTTTTTAACATTTTTTTATTGGGAGTTCATAACCGCTGGACCTGTCTTTACAAAAATTTAAACAAAGTCAATACATGTAAAATAATTTTTGAATTATTCAAATCTAACGCTCCGTTTTCTCAAAAACTGTAATATCATTTTTGTCATTTTTTGCCTCGTATCTTCGAAACGGCGAGACCTGTCTGTGCCAAAAACTAATTAGCACGTCTCCTTATCAATACAAATCGAATGTTATTTGAGTTATACAAATCGGTTAATCGGTGTTCCCGAAATCGTTGACGAAACATTGTATACGCACACACACACACATAATACATCAAGTTTTTCTACTTATAAGGTATGCCAAAATGTTCAGAAACGTAAAGAAATGTACAAATTTTCAATTTCGTATTTTGGACGCTTACAATAACTTACCCTACGGGAAGTAAGAAAATAGGTCAAAAAATTTTTGTTCTGGTTATCAACTAACTCTATCACCATACAAAGTTTCAACAAAATCTGAGGTAAATTTTGATATCTAAAATTCCAACCTGTCCCTTTTGTCCAGCGACTCTATACAAGAACTTGATATCGTCTTGAAGATTAGTTGCATTGTATGATCTAAAATAACAAAAAATTATCAACACATAAAATCCAAGACAAAAAATAATTCCATCCCTCTTACCTGGTCATGGTGATTTGGTGGAACTGATAATTAGCCATAAACGATGCCAGTTTGCACAAAGACTGCTTTCCTGATCCACCGACACCCACCAGCAAAGCATTTCCTCTGTTGAAAAAAAAACACATAAAAATAATAATTATAATTAAATGTGGAAATTATTAAAAAAATGCTAAACCTTGGTGTTCTGACAATTCTTGATATTGTAAACAGATGCACCAAAGCATCGTGGAAAAACACCATGTCCATATTGGCTCCACGAATAGTCTCGTTGAAGGATGCCATGAATTGATGCACTTTCATCAGCACAAACTCCACACTAAAATAATAAATAGTTGTTATTAAAACTAGTTGTGTATGGCATCGTGCCTTAAGCCAGAACTTCCCATACCATAATGTGATATTCGAGAAATTTTAAACGTTTTCAAATATATTAGTACAAATACTGTAACTTGCATTATTTTTGCTATGTTGTAATTGTTAAAAAAAACAGTTGCCTAATTTACACAAAATTGAAAAAGTGCCCACAAAATTGAAAAATACTGTAACTTTCATTATTTTTGCTATCTTATTGTTATATCTGAGCAAATCAAATGTAAATCATAAATAAATCAATTTATCTCCAGAATATTTCGAACAATCGTCATTTCATTTCGAATTCAATTTAAAAAAAAAATAGTTGCCTAATTTGCACAAAATTGCTTAAAATTGCCCCCGTATAGTACGCATTTGCAAATAATTCTGTGCGACATTTTCACTTATACTGTGCTTAGCTTGGCGGCATTTTCACATTTTTCAATAGTTGTTTTCACAAAACTTGAAAAGTGCTTCAATACATGTACAGTCTAAACGCACTTGGGTAAACATTTGTACCAGAGTGGCGCTTAGACTGTGCTTAGTAGGGATTATACAAAAACCGACATTTCAGAAAACCGGTTTTCGAATTTTAATTTTGCTAAAAAACCGGTTTTAGCCGGTTTTCGAATTTTATATAGAAAATAAATTTTTGCTCGAATATTCTGTAATTTATCCGCAAATTTAGTGTGATTTAGAACAGTATTTGACTGAATTTATTTATTGCTCAATTTTATGGATAGTAAACAAAATTATTTTAATTTTAATTAGTAGAACTAAAAATTAATAGTTTATCTTGATTAAATAACTTTGAAAATAATTATTCGTTAGTCATGCATCATTTTCACATATAAGAATGAAAATATTTTTATGATAGTGAAAGGAAAGTTTTCGAATAAATACAAATATTACATTTTTAAATAAAATAAAAAAAAATAGATACATGTTGTTACATACTTGTTAATATCAATTTTAGTTTTAAAAACAATTAAGCTAAACTCGGGTTTATTAAGCTAAGCCTGCTCCGAGCAATTTTAATTAATTTTAAACATCCTAATTGTTTTTTTTTGTTTAATAAAATATGATTTCAAAAAACTGAGAACGTCTATCGAATTGCTACTGAAATAGAAAATACTCTCATACTTGCGACCAGATTATGCTTAATTGTTTTTAAAGTCTGATATAATAATTCTAAGCTTTTTCTTCTTTTATTTGTGGCTTGTAGAGTTTAAAACTATTTTTTTTAGGTTTGGGAAGAAGAAGTTACTTCTTCAAGAAGAAGTCACACGGATTTAAATTAAAATATACACTGGTATAAACAATCTAAATTAATATATACAAAACCTTTCTGTGGACCATTGCAAACTGATAAGATATCACATGCTATTGAGCCGATATGATTTTAAGAATCAAAACGCTTTCATCTATCTTTTAAATTTGACTATATTTGTCATTTTCCATTTATACAGTGGAAACCGACATTTTTCACTAAAAAACCGGTTTTCGAATTCCATAATTTTCGACAAAAAAATAAACTAGTGGGGTGGGTGGCATCGTGCCTTAAGGCAAATTGCTGGAACTTCCCGTACCGTAACGAAACGTTTGAGGAATATTGAATGTTTTCAAATAGATTATTATAAATATTGTATTATTGTCTAATATTTATAATATTTATATAAACTGAATTGCAGAGTTGAAATTATTTGTTTAAAGTATATTAGAACTATAGTCAGAATTAAAAATAAAATCTGAATTATTTTCGATATACAAAAAATTTAAAAAAAAAAAAAAAAAAATTGTACAAAATTTTTTTTCCAAAATCAATTATTTTGTTAAGACAAGCAGAAAGTTCTTTGAATCAATTGAATCAGACGCTTAGTTCTCTCAAAAACTGCCATTTTTGTACATTTAGCTCTGTATCTCCGAAATGGCTGGGCCTGCCTTTGCGAAAAACTAATAACCCTTTCTCCCAATCATTACTAATGGAATGTTTTTTAGATCATTCAAATCGGATGCTCCGTTCTCTCAAAAACTCGATTTCTATTTTCTGCACTCTTTGCTCCTTATCTCCGTAACTGCTGGACCTGTCTTTGCCAAAAACTAATCAGCTCTTCTCCTTATTAATAGGAATCGAATGTTTTTTAAACCATTCAAATCGGTTGATCCGTACGCCCGAAAACGTGGACGAAAATTTGTATCCATACATACATACACACACACACACACACACACACACACACACACACACATCCATTTTTTCTGAGGTATGCCAAAACGTTCAGAAACCTTCAAAACGTCGAGAAATGTAAAAATTTTCAATTCCGATTTTCGGCCCATTACAATAACTTACCCTACGGGAAGTTAAAAAAAGATGTAATAATTTTTCATCCTCAATAGCAATTGTTTTGTCAATAGAAGCAGAAAGTTTTTTAGATTATTCAAATCGGACGCTTAGTTCACTCAAAAACTGCCATTTTTTGCACATTTAGCTCTGTATCTTTGAAATGGCGGGACCTGTCTTTGCCAAAAACTAATCACATCTTCTCCCAATCATTACAAATTGAATGTGTTTTAGATCATTCAAATCGGATGATCCGTTCTCTCAAAAACTCGATTTGTATTTTTTGCACTCTTTGCTCCGTATCTCCGTAACGGCTGGACCTGCCTTTGCCAAAAACTAATCAGCACATCTCCCTATCAATAGGGATCAAATGTGTTTTAAACCATTCAAATCGGTTAATCCGTGCGCCCGAAATCCGTGGACGAAAATTTGTATCGGAGTTTTGGACATACATATATAACCAATTGTTTTAACATATTTAAAGTAATTCTCTTTTATAACTATTTCAATGTGATAAAAATACACTGTATAACGTAAAGAATTTTTAACATTACGGCATCGCAATGCCTTTTATGAAAGAAAAATTTGTGATTCGCAGAACTCTTAAATATTTGGAATCTGGTAAATTGCTACTTAAAGATCGCATTAAAATCTTCTTTATCAATTATAATACTTTTGGCGAACATCACCAAGGAGCAAGGGACTTTGTTTACTGGTATCTGCCTCAAATTCAGTACAAAAATCCTGAAGTATAAGTCATAACCTTTAAAAATCTTACACCCACACCATTTGTAAAATATTATTTCGAGGAAGGAAATCAATTTTGATATTGACAGCAAAACAAAAGAAGAAGTTCATGATCATCTTTTGAAAGTAGTAGGTAAGTCGGAAGCACTACAACTGGTAGAAAAAAAATTAAAGGAAAAAATTGATAATGTCGCTAACTTTGGATTTGGTTGTGATCGACATTGTATTTGTGAAATTCCTGGGCAAATGTCTTGTCCTGGCATAGTCTTTTACATATGAGAGGAAAAACGGGAATGTTAAATAATTGATATAAATTTATATAATATAACTAGCTGACCCGGCAAACGTTGTTTTGCTAAGTAAGGTATATTCTAAACAATTTCTAGAGAATCAAAAATATTAATACTTTAAGTGTATAAGGATGTGTTGTTTGAATGCTATATAAAATGAGGTATTATAAAAGTTTTATACACTTTCTATAGAAAACATGGTATAATCCAATCCAAGTCTTTTTTGGTCTTTCAACTTTTATTGATTACGTTTCAGGTTTTTCAGATTCTTTTTAGATTCTGGATTTTGTGTATAATTGCAAATAATACTACTGAGCTTATACAAAAATTTTCAAATTTCTGCGAGGAGAGATAGAAAATAAATTAAGTATTTTTTTCTTTGACCTGCTTTTTGAAAAGTTTCAAATAACATTCGATGAATTAAAGTAAATGTAAAAGTCCAATATGACTTTGAGCAAATATTAATTATATTATAATAATCAAACCAACTATATCACAACAGATAACACATTTCACACGAACAATTATCTGGCTACGTTCAGTAAAACTGCCAGCTACTTCATCATTGTAAAAATGTGCTTTTTTGCTGCCTTTCAAAAATTTGTTATCAAGACTTATTTACTCTATAGGCGGAGCAACTTGGAACGGCCAGGTGGCAAACATATTTAATGTCTTATTTTAATTTTAAAGGTGTTTTATAAAATAATTACATTTTTAACTAATGCTAAAAAACTACCAACGGAAGAAAATACTTTTATTATGGATTTTCAAAGATTACCCTTTATCTTCCGATAGCAAAGTCATAAGAATCAAGGTTACAGCTGGTTATACATCTTTTTCCCTCTTTTTTCAAATATTGTTGTTAAACAATGCCTAACTTTTGACACATCGGTGGTAGAATTTTTCAACCCTGAACCTTCATATATTACTATCTATTCCTCGATAAATTCTGCGAAATTATAACTGGGAAAATGTTATTTGGCAAAATGTCCCTTTGATCGATACCAAATTTAGGTTTTGAATTTGAATAACATAAATAAAAAATAATATAACCTACAAAATGTTTTATAAATACCAATGAGTATATAATTATACAAATGAGATCTCTCAGAGCACCGTGTTTGAGAAAAATATGATTTGCAAAAAAAAAGAGTGCTACAATACCAAAAAGTGCATTTTCATATTAACATTTCAAAAAAGTTGATATTTTCAGTTTCTTGTAACACTTGCGGCCCATTTACTAACGTTTTTGTATATAAATAAAACTACAAACAAAACTACTTACTACAAATTTATCATAAATAAATAATATTCACGTAAAATATCCTATTGAACGTAATTGAACATCATCTGTCAAAAGCGTTTGACATTTCCATTTTGCCACCGTCCATTGTTTTATTTAAATTACGCTTCAACAAAAATGTTCAAATTAAAAATGTAAAGTTTCTACGCGGATTTGAAATAATTTCTCACCTTTTGGACTTTCTCTGGATTGGCACGAATCTTTCAAGACTAAGACTGGCCAAATCGATTCAGCCGTTTTCGAGTTTTATTCGGACATTTGAAAGACAGCTCCATTTTTATATATAAGATAAGCGATTTAATAGTATATAATATCCATACATACATACACTCACATACACACACATCCATTTAGTTTCTAAGGTATGCCAGTAAAATGTTCAGAAACCTTCAAAGCGTCGAGAAATGCAAAAATTTTCATTTTCTATTTTCGGCCCATTACTATAACTACCCTACGGGAAGTTAATTAATCTGCGTGGGAATCAATATGTATTTACCATACCTTGGAATTTCTTCGTATATCTTGGGAGCATCGAAACAAAAGTCTTCAGGTTCATCTCCTGTAACATCTGGTGGTTCTCGTAGAAAATCTACAAAGAACGTTTCTTCTTCAGGGTATAACTCTACATACTCTGGTAACAATTTTTCGATAACCTTTTTCAAATTGTTGACGAACCAGTCACGATCCGTGTAGGAGGTAAATCTAAAAACCAAAATAGTATTATTACTCCATAGTCAATAGAGCGTTTTGGGTATGAATTTTTGTACTGTGCTCTAATTTGCATGAAATTTTGGAAATAGGTAAAAATGAAAACAATTTAGACACCACTTCTCAGTGGTTTAATTTAATTTTTTCAAAATAACGCCGGATATCGATAGAAGAACTAATTATAAGACAAAAATGTTTCATAAAGTTTTTCAAAACAACAAATACTTTTCAAGTTACTGGCTACTAAAAATTTGTTTCTTTTTGGCGTTTCTCGTCGTTTTTTGCAAATATCTCCAAAAATATACATTTTAGCAAAAATCATGTAATGAACAAAATTATGTCAATTAAAATCCTAACTAGTCGTGCGTGCCATCGTGCCTTAAGGCAAATTGCTGGAACTTCCCGTATCAAAAATTTAATTTAAAAAAAAAATCACTTCTAATTAGAACTTCGAAATAAATACATCTTTGAAAATTTTAAAACATCTTAATTTTTTTTGAGATATTTGAATTTTTTTTATACTTTGAAATATTTCGTAAAAATTGAACTGTTTTTTAAAGCAATCGCGATACGTTAGCTGGGTAAAAACAAAATACCAAAGCGCGTGAGCGCTGCGTCGCAGTCTAACGGGTAAGCATTGGTGCGGAAGCCATAGAAATGTTAACAAAATTTGTTCTTTTTATTAAAATATCTATAAACTGTCTGATAATTTGATGTGCATATGTCCAAATGACATCTTTTTACTGTTTTTACTTGATCTCCGAAACCGTTAGACCTGCCTTCCCGAAAAAATTATCAGTTGTTCATTTCGTCAATACAAATATAATATTTTTTGAATCATTTAAATCGGACGCTCCGTTCTCTCAAAAATTGAATTACCATTTTTAACACTTTTTTGCCCCGTATCTCCGTAACGGCTGGACCTGCCTTTGCCAAAAATTAATCAGCACGTCTCATTATCAATAGAAATCGAATGTTTTTTGAATCATTCATATCGATTGATCCGTGTTCGAGAAATCGTCGACAAAAATTTGTATCCACACACACATACATACACGCACACACACACAGACAGACATTTTTTTGAAGGTATGCCAAATTGTTCAGAAACCTTTGAAACGTAAAGATAAATGAAAGTTTTCATTTTCCAAGTTATTAATGTTTAAATATGTAACCATAAATATTAACTGTTTTTATTCAAGGGTAGTGTTAAGGGTTGAAAAAATTATAGATATAGTAATTAATTTCGACAATTTAAAATAACATTCAAATCAATAATTTTTTCGATTTCGGAATATTTTTTTTAACAATTTTAAAAAAGGGTTAACAATTCGATAATTAAGATAAAGAAGATAAAATATAATTTACTTTATGCTTAAATCTTTTTATGTCATAACAAAATATATTTTTAGGCGTTTTGTAGGGCATTTCAAGGGATTAAAAATGATTTTTAGGTAAGGTAAATGTATTAGGAAATACTTTACAATGTTTACTTTACCCTTTAATATTAAACACGTTTTCTAACAATAAAATGGCTCAAAGTCAATTTATACATAAGGTATGCCAAAATGTTCAGAAACCTTTAAACGTAAAAATAAATAAAAATTTTCATTTTTGATGAAAGTTAATAATTTCTAAATATGTAGCCACAAATATTAACTTTTTTTATTTGAGGATTGAAAAAATTACAGATATAGTAATTATTTTTGAGAATTTGAAATAACATTCAAAACAATATTTTTTTAAATTTCAGAATAATTTTTTAACTATTTTTCATCACGAGGTTTTGTGTACAATAAAGGGTTGAAAATTAAGATAAAGAGAATAAAATATAATTACTTACATCTTTTTATCTTATATCAAAATATATTTTTAGGTGTTGTTTCAACTCGCAAGGATTGTAGGGTTTTCAAGGGATTAAAAATGATTTTATTGTAAGGTAAATGTATTAGAAAATATTTTACAACGCTACCCTTTAATATTAAACACATTTTCTAGGCATAAAATGGCTCAATGTCAATTTATACATAAGGTATGCCAAAATGTTCAGAAACCTTTAAACGTAAAAATAAATAAAAATTTTCATTTTTGATGAAAGTTAATAATTTCTAAATATGTAGCCATAAATATTAACTGTTTTTATTTAAGAGTAGTTTTAAGGGATGAAAAAATTATAGATATTGTAACTAGTTTTTAGACTTTAAAATAACATTCAAAACAATAATTTTTTCAATTTCAGAATAATTTTTCTTAACAATTTTTCATCAAGGGGTTGTATTTTTAAGAGACAAAAAATCACTAAATATCACGTAGGAGAGTATCGTAAGATATGATAATTATGGTAATTAGATATCGTAAAATGTCGCGTATATTTATTTTTTATCTGAATTTTCTAAAAAAATTCAAACATTTTCAAAATAAATAAAATATTTAACTTTTTTTTCTCGTAACTAAAAATACACGTAATGTTCGGTGGGGGGAGGGGGGGGGTTAATTTTAAATATTTCCTTGTATCACAAAGAGAGAGGGAGAGTCCAAAAATCCTTAAAAAATTAATCCTTAATTTCATGCAAATTGGAGCACAGTAAAAAAAATCAGAGGTTACACTATTTTTTCCACTATATATCAATGGCTCTAAATTTTTCCTTTATCTCTTACCTGTCGGCAATAACTCGAGTGCACTCGTGTCTCCAAAGCTTGAAGGCCATTTGTATATCCGGCAACTCCAGACGTTGAATATTTAGAATTCCTTGCCAAATCCTGGACAAGTCGCGCAAATTGAACACGTAGTGGAATTTGGCTGGTGTCGGCAACATCTTTGCCTGGGAAAGGACGAATCGATAAAAATCGAATAAATGAAACAATAAAAAATTGTTTTGGTAATAGAGATGGGTTACTCATTCCGGAGTTATCACTCCGATACAACTCCTCCCTCGGAGTGAAATATCCGACTTCCCTAAACTGATACTAAATCTGTTAACATGTGCAGATATTTGCTTGAGATTTTCTACTAATACAAAGATTTGGGTCGAAAAAAGTGGCCTTTTTTTCGTCTCCTCACAGGCAGTTTTATGACTTTCTAGGTATATAATGTCTCAAAATAATGCTATTTTGTATTCTATATTTTGTATACGATAATGTTTGTCAGTAAATGAGCTCTTTCAATGGTATACAACCAGTTAAAAAAATATTTAGTATTGTATTATAACTTTTACACAATTATGATGATTTTATAATTGTATGAAAGTGATAGTATGCTAATCAAACTACCTGATGTATAATTAACTCTCGAAAGGGAAATAATGAAAGAATGTGAGGTATTATTATTTTGTGAAAAATATTAAACACAAAGATTTATTCTTATTTCATATATAAGGCTCACTGCATTATTTTCATATAAAAACTAGTTATTGCATTTTCTGAACTTTTCTGTATTTTGTTATAAATATACATAATGAATATGAATTATATATGAAATGTGGTAAGGATTTCTATCCTGAAAATCTTTAGAATTTTGATTGTCTTGTTGTTCACAAGTCACACAGATTCAGATGCGAGAATGTACAAAGAAATTTGATTCACAATTATCATTGGAATGGCAATGATATGATTTCTTTGATGTGTCAGACTATTTATTTGGAACATCTTTTACATATAATATTGCCAAGATGTCGTGAATTGTGAATAGTTATCGAATAAATTGAGAAGCACTGTCCTTAATTTAATTATATTGACCAGATATAGAATTTATGGCGAGTGTTCACTTTGAATAATTATTATTCATTCAAAATATTTAGTTTAATTTTGAATACATTTGGATACTAAGCATTTGTATGTTGCTGGGATATCAGATAAATAGTAAAAAAAATTAAACTAACAATTTTTTATTTTTCTTATCTACATATATATAAAAATAAGTCGGGTTTTCCTTCCTGACGATTAAACTCCAGAACACACGAACCGATTTCGACAATTTTGCATTCGTTGGAAAGGTCTCGGGCTCCGCAAGATTTATAGCTAAGAAAATTAGTTGTGCATGACATCGTGCCCTAATGCAAATTGCTGGAACTTCAGGCACCGTAATTGAAAATTCGTGTAATGACATTAGTAAGAATTATCAGAATTATGCTTGGTTAAGTCAACGAGCAATTTTGCCGCAAAGAATAATGATGTACAGGCACTGAAATTTCACCATTCAATCAAAAATTGCTGGCGATTTGGTGACATACCAATGATTCCGACTGGTCTTCTGCTTGACTTCGAACGATTGCAATTTCCAGTTCGCCTTGCGTTCGCAATGACAATTAACAAGTCGCAAGGCCAATCGCTTAGTGTTTGCTGGATAAATTTCAAATAGATTATTTAGAAAATCATTGTTTTTCACATGGGCAGTTATACGTTGCCTGTTCACGAGTTGGAAAACCATCCGCTTTGTTTGTGTAAACGTCAGACCAAAAAACAAAAAATGTGGTTTACCAAAGAGCACTTCAATGAAACGGATAATTTGCGGATTCACTTTCATTTACTTAGAGAAGTTCAACTAAAAAACACTTCATTTTTGTAATCGAAATAAATTCATTACTGTTGTGTAATAAAATCAAATTTTTCTTTTTCAAATATAAAACAAACAAAAAATTTCTTCATTTTTCTCACGAAATTATCTGGTGGCGAAACGGAGTTCGTCGGGTTTGCTAGTCTATAATATATTTCAAAACTTTAAACGCGTTTTTCTCGAAACACGATTTTACAACGCGGCACGCAAAATAACTACAACAATTTGATTTTTTTTCATTCGAATTTTTTACAGTATATTTAAAATTATATTTTCAAGTGCCCATCATAGCGGAGCGCCTCCAATTTGACGCGGCTCGCTCAAACGGCTGTGGTACCGCCGTTTTTAATTTTTTTTTACAATTATATTTTATTTTGTTACATTAAAGTACAATAAACAACTATCTTTAACATCATGATTCTAATACTTTTCCTTCCGCCCAAAAAAAAATGGCAAACACATACTTTTTTTTGGCTGCTACAGTGGTGTAACCCCTTAAAGACAAATACCTGCTGTTGAAATTAAATAAAAATTTGCACAATACACGTGATTGATTTTATGGTTTTCAATTGAAATGGTAGGAAACGAATAGCTTATTTTTTTACTTTTTTGCACAATTTCACAGTGAACACAATGCCGGTTTGTCACATGATATTAACTGAGCAGAGAACAATGAGTAGCAGTCAAACAAAAAATATTAGTTTGCAGAACATACTAAGTATCAGAGATGACGCTGTATGTGAAAAAAGATTTTTTCGCTTTTCTGTTGAAGTTTTCTTCAGTTTTCTTTGCTATAAACTTCACGGAGCCCGATACCATTCCAACGAATGCAAAATCGTCGAAATCGGTTCATGCGTTCTGGAGTTATATCGTCAGGAAGGAAAACACGACTTATTTTTATATGATAGAAGGTAAACATATTCAAAAAATTCTATATTTTCTCTTCAAAAATAATTACAAAATTAATTTTGATTCCCAAGTTTTCTGTCAATTTAAGATTTGTATGCATATTGAAATGCATGAAATAGTAATTATTATAATAAAACTAGCAAACACGACGAACTCCGTTTCGCCACCAGATGGTTTCGTGAGATAGATAAAGAAATTTTTTGTTTGTTTTATATTTGAAAAAGGAAAAAAATGATTTTATTATACAACAGTAATGAATTTATTTCCATTACATAAATGATGTGTTTTTTAGTTGAACTTCTCTAAGTAAATGAAAGTGAATTCGCAAATTATCCGTTTCATTGAAGTGCTCTTTGGTAAACCACATTTTTTGTTTTTTGGTCTGACGTTAACACAAACAAAGCGGATGGTTTTCCAACTCGTGAACAGGCAACGTATAACTTCCCATGTGAAAAACAATGACTTTCTAAATAATCTGTTTGAAATTTATCCCGCAAACACTAAGCGATTGGCCTTGCGACTTGTTATTGCGAACGCAAGGCGAACTGGATATTGCATTCGTTTAAAGTCAAACGGAAGACCAGTCGGAATCATTGGTATGTCACCAAATCGCCAGAAATTTTTGATTGTATGGTGAAATTCAGTGCGTGTACATTATTATTCTTTGCGGCAAGCATTGCTCGTTGACTTAACCAAGCATAATTCTGATAATTCTTACTATGTCATTACTCGAATTTTTAATTACGTGCGTGAAGTTCCAGCAGCTTGCATTAAGGCACGATGCCATGCACCACTAATTTTCTTAGCTATAAACCTTGCGGAGCCGAGACCTTTCAACGAATGTAAAACTGTCGAAACGGTTCGTGCGTTCTGAGTTATTTCGTCAGGAAGGAAAACCCGACTATTTTTATATATATAGAAGATGAACAAAAATGTTTGAACAATTTGTAAACTATTTCCAAAGTCTTAATAAATCCTTATAGATATGTTAACAACACACTAAAATTGTCGGAGTTGTGGAGTTGTCAAGTGGATATAACTCCTCTCTGAAACGGAGTCAAATCCTAACCGATCCGGCTTCGGATATAATAAGCCATCTCTATTTGGTAACAAAAATTATTTTACTTACCTTTGTCTGTTGCCACATGATACGTGTGACAGGAATTAACTTGGGCATAAAGTCTACAATCTCTTCATCAAATCTGGTCGAACAGAAGTAGCCGCCTCCAATTTTATCTGGAAAAAAAAATAAAATAGATGGTGATGGAACTCAAAATTCATTATTAATACTATTACACTCACTAAAAATCAAATCCATAGATTTGTTACTGGGCAGAGTGCAATTGAAGACATTAAACTGCCTTTTCAGACGAGGAGGAATATCGTTTCTTCCACCACCAGGATGTATCATGGCTGCAACCAGTTGTATGTCTTGAATCGTGGAGAATTCTCCTGGTTTATCCAGTGAATAGAAACCTTGACACTCCATCAACTGGCGGACAATTTCATTGGTCACCTGGGTAATAGATTGATTAAATTGTAAAACTAGTGGTGTATGGCATCGTGCCTTGAGGCAAATTGCTGGTACTTCCCGTACCAAAAAATAAAATTTTGAAGTAAAACTTCTTTAGGCGCGACTAGGGTGTAAATCCGTACAAATGCAACGAAAGTGCGTTACGGCAAATAAGATAAGATAAAGATCGAGTGCCAATGATTCGCCATTCGCTCTCGATGATATCATTTCTATACGGGTCGATTGTGATTAGTCGTCGTGTATGTGAATAGAGATCTGTCGTTGTATGCTTATCGGAATCAACGTTGTATGCGTACCGATATCGACAAGGAAATCGGCATAGATAAATAAACATTTTAAAGTTACATCGTAGTACAAATCTGGATTTAATGAAAAATGCCGAAAAAGCAGAAGAATATTTTACACTGTTCCTTGAAAATAATAAAACAAATTAAACATTAGAAATTATTTCTATATCATTCGTAGTTTCTATAAATCTTTGAAGTTATTAAAATTCTTTTATTTTCTTCTTGAGCTTTTCATTTCTCATCAATACGCTGTTTGTCCAAAACATGTAAAATTTGCACATGACGCTCTTTAATATGTCTACTATGCGTACAAATTATAAGACTGATGGCTATTTTACAATTTTTTGAGTTAAATAATGTTTTTCCAAAATGTGCATTCGCCTATTACTAATTTACATAGTATACTGTATTAGTGTACAAGCAGAGTTCTTTTATTTTTTATTAATATACCGTTTGTGCAAAACCTATGAAATTTGCACATGACATTCTTGAATATGTCTACTATGAGTACAAATGCTGAAACTGATGACCTTTATACAGTTTTTTGAGATAAAAATATTTTTCCAAAACGTGCACTCGCCTCATGACTAATTTACATAGTACACTGTATTTGTTGTACAAGTAGAGTTGTTTTATTTCTCATAAATCAACCGTTTGTGCTAAACATGTAAAATTTGCACGCAATATTCTTTAGTATGTCTACTATGAGTACAAATACTGAAACTGATAACTTTCTCACAATTTTTTGAAATAAGTAATATTTTTTAGGCAAGACAGATATTTCAGCTGCTCAAAGAATGAGATTATATCGCCAGCGAAAAAGTAAAAAAGAACAAGCAGTCAATGAATGTATGTTAATTTTTTACATTAATTACATGAAGTTCTTCAAACACAATTACATAATGAGTGAAATTTCGAAAACAATATTTGTTTAGGCGTTGTTTAACATAATGCACTGTGTGAACGAATATTATAGAATTTATTAATCAGCAATTACTTCATTTCTCTAATAAAGGTTCGTCCTAAATGCTAATTACAATGACAAACCGATCATGCCATATTTGAAGTATGACTTTAATTACATTATTATTTTTAAATATTATACATATTTTATCATTTATTTATCATTATATAAATGTGTATAATGGTTGACACTAATAAATGTGTGCACCACGAGTGTTACCATATTACTAATAAACATTATTCAAAATTGTTATATGATGTATTATTTTTTAACTTAAATGCCATCTCATACAATAGCAAAAAAGTTTTACTTCGATCGCGTGTGAACCTTACGCGCACTCTTTTTTTAAAGAAGATTCAATTTTGAAACGTGAAGATATGCAAAAATTTTTATGTTCGATTTTAGGCCCATTACTATAACTTACCCTACGGGAAGTTAAAAATATTAAATTCTAATAAAATCTAAAATATTACCTGATCTCCCAATCGTTAAAAACAGGCATATTGATGTCATCAATGAAAATCGTCATTTTTTTCTGGCTGGAGGACCGTAAGTAGTACCCACACGTTTTTCCATATAGGATTCAATAATTCTCTGAAAAAAAAAAAATTAATAAATTTTTCGACTTGAAACCACAATTTTTTTCTAATTTCTATTTTTACCTGCACCATATTTGGTGTGGTTGCTGATGAGAAATTAAAACTTTTGCTCAAATGATATTCGGGATCATAATGAGACATGTAGCCTTTCAACATGACTGTTTTTGCAGTTCCTTGCTCACCTGAAAAAATAATAAATTTAGAATACTTATTGAAGAAATTTATAAGATAATAGCTGACCCTGCAAACGTTGTTTTGCTAAGTAAGGTATGTTCTGAACAATTTCTAAAGAATCAAAAATATGAATACTTTAAGTGTATAAGGATGTGTTGTTTGAATGCTATATACAATAAGACAATATAAAAACAATAAACCCCATTAATTTGTCTATATTTTTGTTAATGCGATCAAACTGGAAGTTTTATACACTTTCTATAAAAAACATGGTATAATCCAATCCAAATCTTTTTTGGTCTTTCGACTTATTGATTACGTTTCAAGTTTTTCAGATTCTTTTTGGATTCTGCATTTTGTGTATATTTGTAAATAATACTACTGAGGTTATACAAAATTTTCAAATTTCTGCGAGGAAAGATAGAAAATTAATTAAGTATTTCTTCTTTGACCTGCTTTTTGAAAAGTTTCAAGTAACATTCGATGAATTAAAGTAAATTTTTAAAAAAAGTGTATATGTAGAGCAAGGCGAGGCACAAAGGTCCAATTTGACTTTGAGCAAATATTGATTATATTATAAAAATCAAACCAAATATATCACAAAAAATAACACATTTCAAACGAACATTTATCTGACTACGTTCAGTAAAACTCATCTGAAATAATAAGAAAATTAGTGGCATATTTAGTGTGATTTAAAGCAGTTTCGACTGAATTTATTTTATGTTCAATTTCATGAATAGTAAACAAATTGATGTTAATTTCAATTAGTAGAACAAAGAATTAATAGTTGATCTGAATTAAATAACTTTGAAAATAAATATTCTTTATTCATGCATTATTTTTACATATGAGAATATAAATATTTTTATGATAGTGAAAGAAAAGAGTTCGAATAAATAAAAATGATACATTTAAAAAAAACTTTTACCTTTTAATTAAATAAAAAAAAATAGGTACATATTGATACATACTTGTTAATGTCTATTTTAGTTCTAAAAACGTGTTTATTCTATTCCGAACAATTTTAATTAATTAACTTCAATTATTTTTTTTTTGCTTCTAAGGCTAAAAACTCCTTTTTTAAGGTTTGAGTAGAGCAATTCACTCCTTCAACAAGAAGTCACGTTGATCTAAATTAATATATACATTTGATAAAAAATCTAAATTAATATATACATTAGACAAAAAAAACACAGAACTTTCTGGGAACTATAACAGACTGATATGATTCCAAATTTTATCGAACCGATATGATTCCAAGTATCAAAACGATTGCTTCAATCTTGTATATTTGTCACTTTTCATTTATAGTATAAACCGATTTTTTCCACTGAAAAACCGGTTTTCGAATACCATAATTTTCGTCAAAAAACCGGTTTTTAAAAACCGACAAACCCTAATCAAGGTTATAGCTGGTTATACATCTTTTTCCCTCTACTTTCAAATATTATTGTTGAACCAATGCTCAACTTTACTGGTTTTTGACACATCGGTGGTGGACCTTTTTAACCCCGGAACTTCATAAATTACTATCTATATCTATCTTCGATAAATCCTGGAAAATTATAACTGGGAAAAAACCAAATTAGGTTTGTAAATAACATAAATAAAAAATAATAATGTAACATAGAAAATGTTTAATAAATACTAATGAGTATATAATTATACACATGAGATCTTTCAGAGCACCGTGTTTGAGAAAAATATGCCAAAAAGTGCATTTTCACATTAACATTTCAAAAAAGTTGATATTTTGAGTTTCTAGTAACACTTGCAATCCGTTTAATAACGTTTTTGTGTATAAATTTAACTACAAACAAAACTACTTACTACAATTTAATCATAAAAAAATAATATTCACGTAAAACATCCTATTGAACGTAATTGAACATCACCTGTCAAAAACGTTTGACATTTGACGTATTAGCCACCGTCCATTGTTTCATTCAAATCACGCTTCTACAAAAAATGTTCAAATTAAAAATGTAAAGTTTCTACGCGATTTTGAAATAACATCTCACCTTTCCGACAACCTACTGAGTAGCACGAATTTTTCAAGACAAAGACTGGCCAAATCGGTTTAGCCGTTTTCGAGTTTTAGAGGATGATTTGATCGAGACCTCCATATATATATATATATATATATATATATATATATATATATATATATATATATATAAGAATATTTACCTATAAGAAGCACTGCTTTTTCTTGCTGTGCAATCAAGTGAATCAAAATGCAGTCCTGACATTGTCGACATTAGGAACCAAAATGCTGGCATATTCGGGTACACTGTCATCAGGATATATAAACTCCTCGACTCTATTTATCCTGTATAAAACAAATATTATTAACTTCCCGTACGGCAAGTTATAGTAATCGCAGAAAAATCGAAAATGAAAATTTTTTTATTTCTCGACGTTTCAAAGGTTTCTGAATATATTTTGGCATACAATATTTTTTCTAAAAGTAATTTTTTGTCGAATTTATAGTTTCTCAAAAATCTAATTTTTTCGAAGTAAATTTTTAACTTCTCGTAGGGTAAGTTATAGTAATCGCAAAAAAATCGAAAATGAAATTTTTATATATATTTACGTTTCAGAGGTTTCTGAACATTTTGGCATACCTTAGAAAAAATGGATGTATGTGTGTGTGTGTGTGTGTGTGTGTGCGTGTGTGTGTATGTATGTGCGGATACAAATTTTCGTCGACGATTTCGGGAACACCGATCAACCGATTTGAATAATTCAAAAAACATTCGATTCGTATTGATAAGGAGACGTGCTGATTAGTTTTTGGCGAAGGCAGGTCTAGCCGTTCCGAAGATACGGGGCAAAAAGTGCCGAAAACGGTAACTCAGTTTTTATGAGAACGGAGCGTCCGATTTTAATAATTCAAAAAAAATTTTATTTGTATTGACTAAATAAAAAACTGTTCAAATTTTTGGAAAGGCAAGTCCAACGACTTTGGAGATATGGGAGAAAAAGTAAAAAAATGAGCCATTTGGCGGTCAAAAATAAACATTAGACATATGCACATCAAACTATCAGATATTTTATAGAGATTTTAGCATTAAGTATAAATTTTGTTTACATTCCTATGGGTTCCGTACCAATGTTTATCCGTTAGACGGCGACGCGGCGCTTACGCGCTTTATATTTTGTCTCCATATTGAAAAAAGTTCAGATCTTTCAAAATATGTCAAAATAAAGAAAACATTTTTTTTTTTCAAAAAAAATTTAAAAAAAAAAAAAAAATTTTTAATTTTTTTTTTGAAAAAAATTTCTTTTTCAGAAAAAAGTAATTTTTTGTCCAATTTATAGTTTCTCAAAAATCTTATTTTTCGAAGTAAAATTTTTTCAAGAATGTTAATCGTTTTTAAAAAAATAATAATTTTTGGTACGGGAAGTTGCAGCAATTTGCCTTAAGGCACGATGCCTTAATTGCCTTAAGACAGAATTCCACTTACAGCTAGTTTTCAAAAATGTCAATCGCTTTTAAAAAATTAATAATTTTGGTATGGGAATTTGCCTTAAGGCACGTTGCCATGCGCTCCACTAGTTATTGTGATGTAATTGAATCTGTATCAGTTATTAACAGAATTTTTTTCCTCACCAGTGTTGCCACAGTCCTTCCTCCGTGACCAATATTCAAATATAGCTTCTTCAGGCTGCAATTTAGGCCAGTCCATCTTATGTGTGCCTCCTTTCAGTACAAATTCCTGCATTTTTTGTCTGTCGTCTAATTCCAAACATGATCCTAAGGACCACATGACGGCAAAGAGGAATAGTCGTTCGATGTGTCTGTCCGACATGTGAACTAGAAAAAAAAATATGAAAATAGTTGGTATTGGTATTTTGCCTTGGGGCAAGCTACATGAACTTTTCGAAATGTAGAAGGATTGACTTGATCAACAAAAATTGTTTTAGTCAACTGTTTATTAACTTCCCGAAGGAGAAGTTTTTATGTTTCATCAAAAAATCCGATTCGCTAATTTTATGTTTTCTCGACGTTTCAAGCCATTCTGAATCGAATGAGACCAACATTTGGAAAAAGTATGTGTGTGTGTGCGTGCGTTGTATGTGAACAGATTTTTTGCCGTAAATCGACGTTTTCTCAAAGACGGTTCGACCGATTTCAAAAATTTAAAAGCTATTCGATGTATCTCGACGAGGACTGCGTTTCTGAGATTTGTACGACGATCGGCCAAGCCGTTTCTTTATAATAACAGAAAAGTGAAAAAATTTCGTCCACGTTTTAGCCCGCAATTCTGAATCGATTTTGAAAATTCAAAAACCGTTCGAAATGTATTGATTGGGAATCGTGCTGATTAGTTTTTGGTAAAGATCGGCCGGGCCGTTTTCTTGTAATAAAGTTTTTTTTTTTAAAAAAAATTTGACGATTTTTATGATTTTTTTTTGACGGTAGATATCATAGTCTTCTAGATCATACTAAAAGATTATCGCCCTACGACAACTCGTTTAGCTTTAAAAATTGGTCAAGTTTGCAAAAATGGTATCGTTTTTTGGCATTTGTCAAAATTAGACCTTTGATCGACGTTTTCTCAAAAACGCCTGAACCGATTTCAGAAATTTAAAAGTCATTCGATGTATCTCAACGAGCACTATAGTTTGTCAGTTTTGTGAGAGGATCTGCCGAGCTGTTTCTTTGTAATTTGAAAAAGAGTGTTAAACTTTTCGTCCACATTTAAGCTCAATCTACCGAATCGATTTTAGAAAATCAAAAACCGTTCGAAAGATTTAGTTGGGAATGATACTGATTAGTTTTAGGTGAAAATCTACCGAGCCGTTTTCTTGTAATTCTGTTGAAAAAATAATTTAAGCCAATTTTATGGAACTTATATATATTATGGTCTTATAGAACTTACTTACGACAAGTAGTTTGATTTTAAAAATCCACCAAAGTTTGAGAAAATGAGTAGTTCTTTTGACATTTGTTAAAATTAAAATTAGACTATTGACTTCGTATAATGATAGAGTACTTAGTCTTGAACATAATCAACCATTAAAGTCCTGGAAACTAGTTCAATTATAAAAATTGTTGATTTTTTGAAAATTTCCTTTTAAAAAAATACTCCGAGTTAACGTGTTCGTTCGTTTTCAATTATGTGTAATAAATCCACTCGGAATACTTTTAGTTACTCACAAATTAATTTCTATATTATTGATTAAGTCGATTATTTACACATATCGGAAAGTTCATGTAACTTGCCTCAAGGCAAAATACCAATACCAACTAGATTCAAAAATAAAGTTATCGCTTTCAATTAAATCTAAATATTGCGATTACAATATATTTTCTCAAACACATTAAATTAACTGTAATTATAATAATTATATTGCACAGACAAGTGCTTGCATGCTCTAAAAATGTAGCTTATTATTTTAAATTTTAGTGAATTAATAATGTTTGACTCATCACATCACAAAAGCAACTTTTGACACAAATTTTGAGTATAATATTATTTCAAACTTTGAGGAATTTTTAACATTAAACTATTTGTCGTAGGGTCGTAACATTTTAGTATGTTTTATGAATATAATATTTATTGCTAAAAAAGTTCCACAAAAATCGTCAAAAAATTTAATCAGTATCATTCCCAACCGATGTCTTTCGAACAGTTTTTGATTTTTTAAAATCGATTCAAAATTTTTCACTTGTCTACTATTTACAAAGAAACGGCTCAGCCAATCGTCGCACAAAACTGAGAATGTAATTTTCATGTTACTTAAAAATGTAGAAAAATGCCCCTTATATTACAGCTATTAATGATTTGATCGAGTTTTGTTCCAAATGTTTGTATCAGAATATATAAATCCGTTTATATAGAATGAGAGTAAAGTTTATTTACTTTCTAGTAAGCTAACTAAAAAAAAGTTCCCCAAACAAAATGTTCATGTTATTTGAAAAATGTAGAAAAATGTCCATAATATTACATAACAAATTGGTACGATATATATTGACAATTTATTCAAAATGTTTGTATCGGAGCATACAAGTCTGTTTATATAGAATTGTAGTAAATTTCATCTTCTTTTTGCCAAGCAAAATAAAAAAGAGCGACCAGAACAAAATTTTCATGTTATTTGAAAAAATGTAGAAAAATGTTCTTAATATTATACTTAATATTATAATTCTTGCAATCGGTTCAGGCGTTTTTGATTAAACGTCGATAAAAGTTCTAATTTTGACAAATGCCAAAGAAACGATACTAATTTTTGCAAACTTTGACGAATTTTTAAATATAAACGACTTGTCGTAGGGCCGAATTTAATTACAAATATTATTATAAGTGCATCAAAATTTTGTGGTTCATTTTTCTGCACTTTTTGGGATAACTCTAAAATTATCTAAGTTATCTTAAGATCATGTTAGATATATTTAAAGATAACTAAATTATCTACATTTTACTCTAATATTGCATCAAAGTAAAATGAAATTTCATTACTAAAAATTCATACAAAATACAAACAAGTGTATAATTAATCTGCTTCAATGTGCGGTACATTTCTTTAGACTTTTGTAAATAACTCTAAAATTATCTGAATTATCTTAAAACCATATTAAATAAATTTAAAGATAACTAAATTATCTACATTTTACTGTAATATTTTATTAAAATTAAATAAAATTTCATTACTAAAAATTCATTCTAAATACAAAAAAGTGTTTAATTAATATAAATAAAAGTGTGAAACGTAATATTTTAGTATGATCTATAAGACTATGGTAAAAACCGTCAAAAAAAATCATAAAAATCGTAGAAAAAAATTGTTTAACACTTTATTACAAGAAAACGTCCCGGCCGATCTTGAACAGTAACTAATCAGCACGATTCCCAATCAATATCTTTGGAAAACATTTTGAATTTTCAAAATCGATTCAGAATTGCGGGTTAAAACGTAGACGAAATTTTTTTCACTTTTTTGCGATTTACAAAGAAACGGTTCGGCCGATCATCGCACCAAATTGATAAACGCTAATCCTCATCCAGATACATGGAATGGCTTTTAAATTTTTGAAATCGGTGCAGCAGTTTTTGAGAAAACGTCGATTTACGGCAAAAAATCGGTTCAAACACACACACACTCACATACATACTTTTTCCAAATATAGTCTCATTCGATTCAGAATGTCTTGAAACGTCGAGAAAACATAAAATTAGCGAATTGGATTTTTGATGAAAACATAGATTAATCATGTTACCTATTTCTTCGACTCCATACTGAAGCAAACCATTCAAGATATCGCAGCACTGTCTGATATAAATAGCTTCCAGCAGAGTCATCTTCGGCTTGAGTTTAGTCTGCACAAAAGTGTGCACATCATCGTAGATTTTATAGAAGCACCTCTTTAGACAGTCGATTTCGTTTGACCTTCTCGGCCTCAACCAACCCTGGATAAAAATGACATAGTCAGTCAGTAATTACTTAATTAATTAAACTAATTCATGAGGGGTAAACATGAACAAATACGTCCAATAGATAGACATTTTCATAATTTTCAATTTTAAGAACAAGCATAAGAAAGCGTTGCCATGACAATGCTATTTTATGAGCTCTCTTACGGCAGAATTGCCCCATAAATGTCCTATCAAAACGAGATAAAATTCATTGTATTCAAGAATAAATTCTACTCAACCTAAAAAAGAAACAATCTAAAGTGAAATTTTCTACTACAAATAATTATTAACTTCCCGTAGGGTAAGTTATTGTAATGGGCCGAAAATCGAATTGAAAATTTTTACATTTCTCGACGTTTTGAAGGTTTCTGAACGTTTTGGCATACCTCAGAAAAAATGGATGTGTGTGTATGTGTGTATGTATGTATGGATACAAATTTTCGTCCACGTTTTCGGGCGTACGGATTAACCGATTTGAATGGTTCAAAAAACATTCGATTCCCATTGATAGGGAAAGAGCTGATTAGTTTTTGGCAAAGGCAGGCCCAGCCGTTTCGGAGATACGGAGCAAAGAGTGCAGAAAATAGAAATCGAATTTTTGAGAGAACGGAGTATCCGATTGAATGATCTAAAAAACATTCAATTAGTAATGATTGGGAGAAGTGTTTGTTAGTTTTTGGCAAAGGCAGGCCCAGCCATTTTGAAGATACGGAGCTAAATATGTAAAAAATGGCAATTTTTGAGAGAACTAAGCGTCCGATTTAAATGATTCAAAGAACTTTCTGCTTGTCTTAACGAAATAATTGATTTTGGAAAGAAAATTTTGTTCCATTTTTTTTTTTTTTTTTTTTAGTTTTTTGTATATCGAAAACATTTCAGATTTTATTTTTAATTCTGACTATAGTTCTAATATACTTTACAAATAATTTCAACTCTGCAATTCAGTTTATATAATTCTTATAAATATTAGACAATTTTACAATATTAATAATAATCTATTTGAAAACATTCAGTATTCCACGAACATTTTGTTACGGTACGGGAAGTTCCAGCAATTTGCCTTAAGGCACGATGCCATAATTGCCTCAAGACAGAATTCCACTTACAGCTAGTTTATTTTTCAAGTTGCAAAAAATTGGTGAATTTAAACTTTTTTTACGGATTTTTTAGGTGCAACTAGGATCTATATTATTGATAATATATATTTGCTTTAATTTTTTTGTTTTGGATGGAAATTGTGTCCTGTATCTTTCCCACCAAACGCTCGTGACATTATGATATATATTTCAATGAAACAATTTGAGAAGAATGTTGAAATATATAATAATAAAACCTGAAAGTTTGGTTTCAATTAAATATTTATATCCATCCTTAAAAAATTCTAAAAAAAAAATCGATTTTTTAAAGCCTTTAAAGCAGGCTTTCCCCTTTAGTCGCAAATCAATCAGGTTTATCTTTTTTACATTATCTTATATATAAAAATGGAGCTCAATAAAAGGATCCGACAAAACTCGAAAACGGCTGAACCGATTTGGCCAGTCTTAAAAATTCGTGCTAATCAGTAGATTGTCCGAAGGGTGAGATATTATTTCAAAATCGCGTACAAACTTTACATTTTTAATTTGAACATTTTTGTAGAAGCGTAATTTGAATAAAACAATGGACGGTGGCTAATACGTCAAATGTCAGATGATGTTCAATTACGTTTAATAGGATGTTTTACGTGAATATTATTTAATTAGGATTAAGTTGTAGTAAGTAGTTTTGTTTGTACTTTTATTTATACACAAAAACGTTATTAAAAGGGCCGCAAGTGTTACTCTAAACTCAAAATATCAACTTTTTTGAAATGTTAATATGAAAATGCACTTTTTGGCATATTTTTCTCAAACACGGTGCTCTGAAAGATCTCATTTGTATAATTATATACTCATTGGTATTTATAAAACATTTTCTAGGTTATATTATTTTTTATTTATGTTATTTAAATTCAGAACCTGAATTTGGTACAGATCAAAGGGACATTTTGACAAATAACATTTTCCCAGTTATAATTTCCCACAATTGATAGAAAAATAGATACTAATATATGAAGGTCCGGGGTTAAAAAGTCCACCACCGATGTGTCAAAAACCAGTAAAGTTAGGCATTGTTTAACAGAAATATTTGAAAGTAGAGGAAAAAATGTATAACCAGCTATAACCTTGATTCTCATGATTTTACTATCGAAAGATAAAGGGTAATCTTTGAAAATCCATAATAAAAGTATTTTCTTCCGTTGGTAGTTTTTTTAGCATTAGTTAAAAATGTAATTATTTTGTAAAATATCTTTAAAATTAAATAAGACATTAAACTTGTTTGCCACCTGGCCGTTCCAAGTTACTCAACCTATAGGGTAAAAAGGTCTAGATAACATATTTTTGAAAGACGGCAAAAAAGCACATTTCTACAATGATGAAGTAGCTGACAGTTTTACTGAACGTAGTCAGATAATTGTTCGTTTGAAATGTGTTATTCGTTGTGATATAATTGGTTTGGTTTTTAAAATATAATTAATATTTGCTCAAAATCAAAATGGACATTTGTGTCTCGTTCTGCTCTACATATATACTTTTATTAAATTTACTTTAATTCATCGAATGTTACTTGAAACTTTTCAAAAAGCATGTCAAAGAAGAAATACTTAATTCATTTTCAATCTCTCCTCACAGAAATTTGAAAATTTTGTATAAGCTCAGTAGTATTATTTACAATTATACACAAAATCCAGAATCCGAAAAGAATCTAAAAAACTTGAAACGCAATCAATAAGTCGAAAAACCAAAAAGACTTGGATTGGATTATACCATGTTTCCTATAGAAAGTGTATAAAACTTCCAGTTTGATTGTATTGACAAAATATAGACAAACTAATGGGGTTTATTGTTTTTATAATACCTCATTGTATATAGCATTCAAACAACACATCCTTATACACTTAAAGTATAATATTTTTGATTCTCTAGAAATTGTTTAGAGTATACCTTACTTAGCAAAAACGTTTGCCGGTTCAGCTAGTATTTAATATTAGGTTGTCAAATATCTCCCTTCCGCCTTTTGTATTATAAACCAATAGCAAAAAAGCGGAAGGGAGATATTTGACAACCTATTATAAATCTTATCTAGAATTGAACCTAAAGGTAAATTTACGAGCTACATTTGGTAGCGACATCTATGATATGCTGAAAGAACTAAAATGTATGTTTTATCAAAGCAGCCTTATTTGCCATCTATTTATACTCATCTATCTATAATCTAATTCTTGCCTCCAAAAAGGGTTGCCACTTGAGCACCGATGCACTCAGAAACACCATTCCCATCCGACTAACAGTGGCTGGTGAAGCATTGTCAACGTTGTCTGGTTCGAAGACCAGTTTGGCATTTGGAGCCATCACGATACGATCACCATTGGCCAAAGTTAAAGTTTTGTTATCGTCCAGGACAGAGTTCAGATTTTCAATCCATACTGCGTCAACAGGACCATCTGGAAATGAAAATATGATATATAGACTTATGTATGCACTAGAGATATATGTGCCCATAATTATGAAAGTGGTCTAAGTCATATATTTCTTGTTTCGAGATATTTAATGATTTGCATTTGAATAAATTAAAAAATATTTTTTCATTATGCGACATTTTAATTAACTTCCCGTAGGGCAAGTTATAGTAATCGCAAAAAAATCGAAAATAAAAATTTTTATGTATCTTTACGTTTCAAAGGTTTCTGAACATTTTGGCATACCTTAGAAAAAATGGATGTATGTGTGTGTGTGTGTCTGTATGTATGTATGTATGTATGTATGTATGTACGTGTGTGTATGTATGTGCGGATACAAATTTTCGTCGACGATTTCGGGAACACGGATCAACCGATTTGAATAATTCAAAAAGCATTCGATTCGCATTGATAAGGAGACGTGCTGATTAATTTTTGGCGAAGGCAGGTCTAGCCGTTCCAAGATACGGGGCAAAAAGTGCCAAAAACGGTACCTCCGTTTTTAGGAGAACGGAGCGTCCGATTTGAATAATTCAAAAAACATTTTATTTGTATTGACAAGATGAAGAATCGATACAACTTTCATGAAGGTAGGTCCAGCGGTTTTGGAGATATAGAGAAAAAAGTAAAAAAATGAGCCATTTGGCGGTCAAAAATGATCATTAGACATATGCACATCAAATTATCAGATATTTTATAGAGATTTTAACAACAAGTATAAATTTTGTTTATTTTCCGATGGGTTCCGTACCAATGCTTACGCGTTAGACAGCGACGCGGCGCTTACGCGCTTTATATTTTGTCCCTATGTAGTTAAAGCAGTACGATTGCTTTGAAAAAAAAGTTCAGATCTTCCACAATATGTCAAAATAAAGAAAAAAAAATTTTTTTTAAAAAAAATTTTTTTTTTCAAAAAAAACTAATTTTTTGTCCAATTTATAGTTTCTCCAAAATCTTATTTTTTCAAAGTAATTTTTTTTCAAAAATGTTAATTGTTTTTTAAAAAAATAATAATTTTTGGTACGGGAAGTTCCAGCAATTTGCCTTAAGGCACGATGCCCTAATTGCCTTAAGACAGAATTCCACTTACAGCTAGTATTTAATTTTATTAGTCTCAATTAATGGAAATTTATTATGAATATGAAATTTTGTGTGAATTTCATACGATAATATTGTTTTTAAAGTTTAAATTGACTTTGACTATTTTCAAAATTAACTGAATGTCCTATAAATGACTTAAAGCAATAAAAAACTTTGAGTTTTATTTGAAACAATAATTTTATTGAAATAATTCGTGAGCATTTATTAATTATTTTCAAACGGTAATCCATTTTTATCATTATTTCGAGTATTTAAGATTCTTAAAATGTTCCTGAAAAACTGGAAGGTTGTACGGTAGTAAACTCATAATTTCTTTGTTTTTCTTCCGATACAGGTTTAATGCTGGTGTATAATGGAAGTAATTTAATATTTCCGTATATTTTTGGTCTTTCTCTTTTAGGTGAAAGATCCAAAACGTGAAATGTAAAATCATCTAAAGAAGATTTTATAAAACATAAAAAATTTTATAAGGTTCATTTTTCACGAATCTCATCCATTGAATTTGTAGCCAAGAGATAGATTCGCCCGCGGTATTTTTTACTCTTCTTGTCATTGTATCTTCTAATGATTTCGTTGAAATAAAATTCGCTTATCGAAAATGTATTGCTTCTTCTGCACTTTTCTATCAATTCATAATAATGCTCAGGGTTGTATAAGTAATTTGCTTTTTTTAAAATCACGATCATTCGGTAGAAAGGAATGACCAGACACCAAAAATTTTTGACTTAGACCACTTTCATAATTAACACTAAATGAATTCCATATAATGTTGAAATTACAACCACTATCTAATGGTTCATTTTTGACAATTTCGTAAAAATTACATTGAATACACTTAGTTTAAACTAATGTGGTATGAAATAACTGATAAACTCATTTTTTTTAAATTTTGACTTAGACCACTTTCATAATTATGGGCACATATTATGTATGTACTAGAGATGGTCTTATTATATCCGAGGCCGAATCGGTTAGGATTTGACTCCGTTTCAGAGAGGAGTTCTATCCACTTAACAACTCCACTACTCCGACAACTTAGAAACATAATACTTGACACAAATGTGTTATCTAGTGTGTTGTTAACATATCTATAAGGATTTATTATTTTGGATATATTTGGAAATAGTTTACAAATAGTTCAAACATTTTTGTTCATTTTATTATAATAATTACTATTTTATGCATTTCAATATGCATACAAATCTCATATTGACAAAAAACTTGGGAAACAAAATCAACGTTGTCATTATTTTTGAAGAGAAAATATGGAATTCTTTGAATATGTTTATTTTTATATGAAAACTAGATGACCTGACAGACGCTGTCGTGTACCCACATCTACATTTTTTTCATATTCTATACTAATATTTATACCGTTCAGTTAAAAATAATAATTGTTTTTTGAATTACTATTTACGCAAATATATGAGTGATGTTAAATGTAGAACTTCTTCAAATAAAATAATGATTCTAAATTCCCACAGTTAACACTTTAATTATCCCTTAAAACAAATACTAAAATATGTTCAATAAAATTGTATATTAAAAATTATACACTGCGATTTATAGAACAAATTTATTTCCAATATCTCAATTTATTTTAATGTCAAGGGTTATCCAATATTTTTAGTCATACCTGTAGATGTGGATGTATAAATGAATGATTTCTTGTTTATTCACGACTAAAACATAGATTCTCAAAATTTTTCACACAAAAATCATCGTCTGACTTTGTGATGTATTTATTGTCATACTGTCAAGATACACGTGTTGAAAATTGAAATCTTTTGAAAAGTATAACAAATTCATAAAGAATTAATATATAGCATTTGCGGTAAACGTACAATATAACCTGGGAATTTTCTACCCAAAATAATTGCTTCAATAATATTGCCTATAATTTTTATAATTTCGTACCATATTTTAAATGGATTTAGTGATTTTAATATCTAAATTACATTTTTCTCACTAATAATTCAATATACATTATTACTTAAGTTCATATTCGAAGTCAATTAATTTGACAAATCCTGTTCTCATGTGCTCTATTCAACCAACGATCAACAAAATTATTGCAGTAAACGGAGAGGAAAAAGCGTGTGCCCTGTGAATTTTTTTACTGTGCTTCAATTTGCATGATATTTTGGAAATAGGCTAATCTTAAACTCAAGTTCAGAAGTGAAAACAATTCGCACTCTGTCACCGTATTAATTGAATTACAACTTTTTTAATTCGGACTTCATCAGAACTTGTAAGATACTATATTAAAAGTAATGGCAAATGACAGTCTTTCCAATGCCAAACAATTCCTCAAATATTTTCAATGTCAAACAATGATAAGCGGTTTTTTGTAATTTTTTCCATTTATTTCTACAATCTAACTATATTTCTATAATTCAAAAAATCCTAAAAAAATCCCATTACAAACTTCAGAAAGATTTATCAAAATTCGAATAATCGTTTAGTAGGATTATCCTTTCATGCATCATTACAGAAGAGTTTTAACGCTCAAATTGATTCTACGTTTTAGTTAGAAAACGTTTGTATGAGAAAGAGAAAAGGTCTGTTTTTGGGGTTTTCCCGGCAATTATTCAATTTTTTCTCGTCGTGAGAACCGCCTTTGATCTTCAACAAACATTTAAAAAAAAGAATTGGCCAAATTGGTCCAGACCTTGTTGAGTTATGCGCTTACCAACATATTTTGTGATTCATTTTTATATATACGATAATGCAGTGAACCAACCTTTTATATGAAATAAGAACAAATCTTTGTGTATAATATGTTACACAAAATATTAAAACCTCACATTCTTTTATTATTTCCCTTTCGAGAATTAATTATACATTGGTTAGTTTTATTAGCATACTATTACTTTTACACAATTATAAAATCATAATTGTGTAAAAGTTATAATATAATACTACATATTATTTAGTTGGTTGTATACCTTTGAAAGAGCTTATTTACGGACAAACATTATCGTATACAGAATATAGAATAATACCAAATAGCATTACTATTTTGAGACATTATATACCTGGAAAATCCTAAAACTGGCTGTGAGACGAGAAAAAAACCCTTCTTTCGACCCAAATCTTTGGTATTAGTAAAAAAATCTCAAGCAAATATATGCACATGTTAACAGATTTAGTACCAGTTTAGGGAAGTCGGATATGACAAATCCTGTGATACAACTCCACTCGGATTCACTCCGAGGGAGGAGTTGTATCGGAGTGATAACTCCGGAGTGAGTTATCCATCTTTAGTATGTACTGTTTGTATTTGTGTATTACTGACCTAAAATCAACCAAACAAATTCGTCCTTCTTCATTTTTAAAGTCCTGCGCCACAAAGTGGAGAATATTCCATCAGTCCAGTCGTTGGTGGCAGCGTCCAAACGACCAAACATTTGTGGAGCAGTTATAGCCTAAAAAATAATTAGTTTTTAGCAAAGGCAGGTCTAGCTGTTTCGAAGATACGGGGCAAAAAGTGTCAAAAATGGTATTACAGTTTTTGAGAGAACGAATCGTCCGATTTGAATAATTCAAAGAACATTTTATTTGTATTGACTAAACGAAGAACTGTTTACATTTTTGGAAAGGCAGGTTCAGCGGTTATGGATTCTCATTAAAAATGTTATTTGGCGGTCAAAAATGATCATTAGACATATGCACATCAAATTATCACAAATTTTATAGAGATTTTAAAACATAATGTGTACTAAATTCCAAGATTTTTAGTTTTAAAATTTACGTATATGGTTCGAACAAATGTCCTCGACATTTTTGAGTTTGATTTTGCAAAATTAAGCGTTTTTTCAAAAAACACGTCTAGCCGGAGGTATTTTGAAAATTAAAAAGAAATTCAAAATTTTCAAAAAAAAATTAAAGTTTCAAAAAATTCAAATTTTCGAAATTTTTCATAATTTAAGAAAAACAATCAAAATTTTGAAACATGTCAGAAAATATTAAATTCAAAAAAATGGATTTAAAAAAATCAAATATTTTCAAAAATGTCCAAAATCTCATAAAATTTAAAAAAATTGTAATTCTTGTAATTTCAGACACATAAGTCTAAATTCTGAAAAATCTAAATTTCGCAATTCCCAAATGTTCAACAAATTTAAAAAAATCGATTTTTTCCAAAAATTTCAGAATTTTCGAACTTTTAAAAAAAATTTAAAATTTTGAAAGAAATTCAAAATTATCAAAAAAATTAAAATTATAAAAAAATGACAAATTTCTTGTAATTTCAGACACTAAATCTGAATTTTGAAAAATTTTAAAAACATCAAATTTTAAAAAAACGATTTCTTACAAAAATTTTAGAATATTTTGAAATTTTCCAAAAAAAATCGTATATTATCAAAAATTTCCAAATTCTCAAAAAATTTAAAAAAAAGATTTTTTTCAAAAATTTCAAATAATTTCAAAATTTTAAAAAAATTCTAAATTTTGAAAAAAAAACATCAAAATCATCTAAAAATTCAAATAAAAAAAAACAAATTTATTGTAATTTCAGACACAAAATCTGAATTTTGAAAAATTCAAAAAATATCAAAATGATAAAAAAACGATTTCATACAAAAATTTAAGAATATTTTGAAATTCTCAAAAATATCGAATATTTCCAAAAAATTTCAAATTCCCAATAAATTTAAAAAACACCGATTTTTTCCCAAAATGCTAATATTTTCGAACTTTCAAAAAAAAACACAATTTTGAAAAAAAATTCTAAATTATCAAAAAAATCAAATTTAAAAATGTTGAACAATTTTTTTGTAAACATACACGCTCGTCGCCCAATTTGATAAGCACTTATAAATCCACAGTATGTACTTATAATAAATAATATATTTAAAATTATTTAAAACAAATATTGATTATTTTTATTATTCGAATTTTGAATTACGGTACGGAAAGTTCCAGCAATTTGCATTAAGGCACGATGCCATACACCACTAGTTTTATTATTACCTTCGGATTCATCCTCAATTCTTTGTGGACACGTCCACATTCAGTCATAGCAGCATTCAGACAACGTATACAACTAGTTTTGCCAGAACCGGTCGGTCCTAAAAACCAAAAAAAAAAAAAAAAAATTAGACAAAGTACATCGACACATATTTCTGGTCTATAGATAGTAATATGTTTTCATGTGAAAATAGATAATATATATATATATATATATATATATATATATATATATATATATATATATATATATTAGAATCGGGCAGTAACACCAAGTAAAAAACTAAAGTAATTTTGAAATACTTTATTTATCCATACGTTTCGGTCTTCATCGAGACTGTCATTCTGTGGAAAAACTAAACAATTTTATATGATGTAGGAGGAAATAATATAAAGTTATAATTTATATATAAGTACTTACAGAAATTAATTATACAAAAATACACTACACTATTACACTATGATAAATCAAGCTATTTATAACTGGAACATTTAAACTAATTATTTTTTTGACAATTTTTGGTTACATTCTAGTGTATACAAATTGACTACCGTCTAGATACTGAATGTATTAAAAATGTAAAATAATAAAATAATAAAAATACACGCTTCATTCAGATATGGTGGCGTTTTTGAAAATGGTCGAGGATTATTTTATAGTCATTACAAAGCGAATTGTTGTCCGTTCTTAAATTTATGGCTGTATCCTTGTGTAAAGATATTAAGCATCCTTCGTTAAATCGTCTTTTAAATAAATTATTTTCGAAATGTAGGATCGAGGGATTGGAAAAAGCAATGTTATGTTTGAGTTTATTAATGTGATCTGTTAGTTGTGTTTTTTATTCTGGTTCTTATTTTTAGAGTTGTTTTTGTGTTGTGATATTCTTTTGTGCAAGTTTTGACTGGTTTCACCTATGTAAACGCAATTACAATCTAGGCAATTAAGCTTATAAACTATATATATATATATATATATATATATATATATATATATATATATATTCTGGTCCTTTACACTTACCCATCGTCATCAATCCATGTCTGACTAAAGACGTTTCGTACAATTGTACGCACTTCAAATTCCATTCAGGGTGATTTACATAACTCATTTTAGCCGATTGGTTCTCCAAAGCCTTCTGCAAATCCTTGTACACAAAATGACTCAATTTGATACCCGGGAACATGTCCTCGATAAGGGAAATGAATAAGGGTTCATCTTCGTCTACCAGTTTTGAAACGTTCATATCTCTGGATAAAAGAAATAGAAAAATAAATAAAAAGATTGCATAAACAATTGTAACTAAATTAATTCCCGAAGGATAAGTTTATGTTTTCATCAAAAAATCCGATTCCCTAATTTTGTGTTTTCTCCTGGACGTTTCAAGCCATTCTAAATCGAATGAGACCAACCATCGGAAAAAGTATGCATGTGCGTATGTGTGTGTTGGAACCGATTTTTTGTCATAAATCGACGTTTTCTCAAAAACGCCTGGACCGATTTCAAAAATTTAAAAACCATTCGATGTATCTCGATGAGGACTAGCGTTTATCGATCAGCCAAGCCGTTTCTTTGTAAATCGCAAAAAAGTGCAAAATTTACGTCCACGTTTTAGCCCGCATTTCTGATTTTGAAAATTCAAAAGCCGTTTAAAAAATATTGGTTGGTAGTTAGTTTTTGGTGAAGATCGGCAGGGCCGTTTTTTTGTAATAAAGTGTAAAAAAATTTTTTTCGACGATTTTTATGATTTTTTCGTTTGATTGTAGATACCATAGTCTTATAGATCATACTGAAATATTACGTTTCACACTTTGATTTATATTAATTATACACTTGTTTGAATTAGCACCAATTTTTAGTATTAAAATTTTAACTGAAATTAATATAATATTAGAGTAAAATGTAGATGATTTAGTTATCTTAAATGTATCTAATATGGTTTTTAAATAACTTAGATAATTTTAGAGTTATCTTAAAAAGTGCAGAAAAATGTACTACACATTGAAGCAGATTAATTAAACACTTGTTTTTATTTAGTATGAATTTTTAGTTATGAAATTTCATTTGACTTTAATACAATATTAGAGTAAAATATAGATGATATAGTTATCTTCAAATGTATCTAATATGGTTTTAAGATAACTTAGATATTTTTAGAGTTATCTACAAAAGTCTAAAAAAATGTACTACACATTGAAGCAGATTAATTAAACACTTGTTTGTATTTAGAATGAGTTTTCAGTAATGAAATTTTAATTGATTTTAATGCAATATTAAAGTAAATTGTAGATAATTTAGTTATCTTTAAATGTATCTAATATGGTTTTAAGATAACTTAGATAACTTTAGAATTATCTTAAAAAGTCTAAAAAATGTACTACACATTGAAGCAGATTAATTATACACTTGCTTGTAATTACAACTAATTTTTAGTAATGAAATTTTATTTGACTTTAATACAATATTAGAGAAAGTTGTAGATAATTTTGTTACCTTTAAATGTATCTAATATAGTTTTAAGATAACTTAGATAACTTTAGAGTTATCTCAAAAAGTGCAGAAAAATGTACCGCAAAATTTTGATGCACTTATAATAATATTTGCAATTAAATTCGGCCCTACGACAAGTCGTTTAATTTTGAAAATTAGTCAAAGTTTGCAAAAATTAGTATCGTTTATTTGGCATTTGCCAAAATTAGAACTTTCATCGACGTTTGCTCAAAAACGCCTGAACCGATTGCAAAAATTTAAAAGCCAATCGATGTATTTCGATGTGGATTATCTTTTGTCAGTTTTGTGCGACGATCGGCCGAGCCGTTTCTTTGTAAATAGCAGAAAAGTGAAAAATTTTTGAATCGATTTTAAAAAATTAATAACTGTTGGACAATTTTTTTTGACGATTTTTTGAACAATTTTTATTATTTATATTATTTATAGAGCAATAGATATAATGGTCTTATAAAACATACTAAAATGTTGCGACCCTACGACAAATAGTTTAATGTTCAAAATTCATCAAATTTTGAGAAAATATTATGGTCAAAATTTGTGTCAAAAGTTACTTTTGTGATGCGATGGGCCAAACATTATCAATTCATTAAAATTTAGAATAATAAGCTACAAATTTATAATATACTAGCACTAAAGTGTCTATGCACTATCGCAATGTTTTAAGTCAATTGTTACAAAGTTCATTCAACTTGCCTCAAGGCTAAATGCCACTTCCAACTAGTTACTTATTCCATTTACCTCAAGACTCTCATAAGGCAGGTTTCTTCAGAATCCGAAGGATTCGCACGTTTTTGTGCGCCCAAAGTTCTCAAAACAGACAAGATGTTCCTGAGTCCAAAATCGTAATGCACTTGTTTCGATAATTGTTCTTCGCAAAGTTTGTACAAAGTGTAGAATTTACGAGCTGCAAAGATAAAATTCTATTAGATACAAGATGACCTGACAGACGTTGTCCTGTACTCATGTCTACATTTTTTTAATATAATATACTAATATTTACCGTTTACCTAAAAATAATAATGTTGTTTTTTAAATTACTCTTCACGCCAAAATTGCATATACATTTATAATATGAGCGATGTTAAATGTAGAACTGCTTTGAATAAAATTATTAGTCTCAATTCTCACACTATATTGGAAATTGAAGTCTTTTAAACGATATAACATAACCATAACCATTATATAACATTGGTACTTAATGTTGGATTACATTAATTTAATTTAATTTTATATTATTTAAGATATCCAAAATTGCATCTTAAACTTCGCCTAATCGATATCGTGAAGGCCGAATTGTATGTATTCATCTTTACTTTCCTATTTGTTGTTATAAAGTGAAGTTTTTACGAATTTTAAAACTATTGTGGAAAAGTTAGTAAAAAATGCAAAAAAATTATATATTGAAAATGTAATATCCGAATCTTGTGTTGGCGCCCCCTAAGGCGTGCGCTCGTATTTTTTGCATGCATCGCATTAAAGGTAAGACCGGCCCTGATTAATACTTAATTTCATATTTTAAGTAAATTAATTTGTCATATTCTGTACATATTTGTATCATTCAATCTGCCATACATATAGTGTATTTCATATTATTTTAATTTCTGGCACATCTCAGCTGCTTTTTGGCAATAATAATGTAGACATTTCATTTTTCTTATTCATAATCATGAATTTATTATACACATTCTAATATTGTCTAGGTTCATAAGTAAATTGAAATTTTTGGCAGACGATAGTTTTCCTTTGTTTTCAATGGGCGGGTTTTGGAATTTTTAACTTCCCGTAGGGCAAGTTATAATAATCGCAAAAAATCGAAAATGAAAATTTTTATATATCTTCACGTTTCAAAACCTTCTGAACATTTTGGCATACCTTAGAAAAAATGGATGTATGTGTGTGTATGTGTGTATGTGTGTGTGGTCGGATACAAATTTTCATAGACAATTTCGGAAACACAGATGAAGCGATTTGAATAATTCAAAATACATTCGATTCGTATTGATAAGGAGACGTGCTGATTAGTTTTTGGCAAAGGCAGGTCTACCCTTCCGAAGATACGGGGCAAAAAGTGCCAAAAACGGTAACTCAGTTTTTAAGAGAATGGAACGTCGATTTCAATAATTCGAAAAACATTTTACTTGTATTAACAAGATGAAGAACTGATCAAATTTTCATAGGGGTAGGTCTAGCGGTTTCGGAGATCTAGTACAAAAAGTAAAAAAAAGCCATTTGGCGGTCAAAAATGATCATTAGACATATGCACATCAAATTATCATTAATTACAGAAATTTTAATAATGTGTATCAATTTTGTTTACATTGCTATGTGTATCAATGTTTATCCGTTAGACGGCGACGCGGCGCTTACGCGCTTCGATATTTCGTCTCTACGCAGATAAAGCAGTACGATTGCTTTGAAAAAAAGTTCAGAATTACCAAAATATTTCAAAATAAATTTTTTCTTCAAAAAGTCTTTTTTTTTCAAAAAAAAGTAAGTTTTTGTCAAAAATTTATAGTTTCTCTAAAATCTAATTTTTTTAGAGTAAATTTTTTTCAATAATGCTAATGTTTTAAAAAAAAATTTTTTTGGTACGGGAAGTTCCAGCAATTTGCCTTAAGGCACGATGCCATGCGCCCCACTAGTTTCCATTCATTTCTACAATATTGCATATACATCCCAGTACTTTATAATCACATACATCCTAGAAAATTTCCTTAACAAACTTCAGAAAGATTTATCAAAATCCGAATAATTGTTTAGGAGGAGCTTATAATTTAATATGAACTTTATATAATAGCAATAAAGCTCAAATTGATTCAACGTTTTAGTTAAAACACGTTTGTATGTGAAAAAGAAAAAAAAAGTTTTTAGGGTTTTCCTGGCAACTATTCGATTTTTTCTCGCCGTAAGAACCATCATTGGACTTGAACTAACAATTTTAAAAAAAGAATTGGCCAAATTGGTCCAGACGTTGTTGAGTTATGCGCTTACCAACACATTTTGCGATTCAGTTATATATTATATATATATATATATATATATATATACTAGCAAACCCAACGAACTCCGTTTCGCCACCAGATGGTTTCGTGAGAAAGATAATGAAATTTTTTGTTTGTTTTATATTTAAAAAGGAAAAATTTGATTTTATTATACCACACTAATGAATTTATTTCGTTTACAAAAATGAAATGGTTTTTAGTTGAACTTCTCTAAGTAAATGAAAGTGAATGCGCAAATTATCCGTTTCATTGAAGTGCTCTTTGGTAAACCACATTTTTTGTTTTTTTGGTCTGACGTTAACACAAACAAAGCGGATGGTTTTCCAACTCGTGAACAGGCAACGTATAACTGCCCATGTGAAAAACAAATGATTTTCTAAATAATCTATTTGAAATTTATCCCGCAAACACTAAGCGATTGGCCTTGCGACTTGTTATTGCGAACGCAAGGCGAACTGGATATTGCAATCGTTTGAAGTCAAACGGAAGACCAGTCGGAATCATTGGTATGTCACCAAATCGCCAGCAATTTTTGATTGAATGGTGAAATTCAGTGCGTGTACATCATTATTCTTTGCGGCAAGAATTGCTTGTTGACTTAATTGCAAGCATAATTCTGATAATTCTCACTAATGTCATTACTCGAATTTTTAATTACGGTGCGTGAAGTTCTAGCAAATTGCATTAAGGCACGATGCTATGCACAACTAATTTTCTTAGCTATAAACCTTGCGGAGCGCGAGAACTTTCCAACGAATGCAAAATTGTCGAAATCGGTTCGTGCGTTCTGGAGTTAAATCGTCAGGAAGGAAATCCCGACTTATTTTTATATACGAGGTGTGTTCAAAAAGTACCCGGAATTTTTAAATTTCGCGGGTCTGGAGTGTCTGATTGTCAAAATTTTTTTTTATTGTGTTGGTATACATGCCCCTAAAGTATGATGAAATTTTCAGCTATATTCACTGTTTACTTTGTCTGTGGTAGTCGCTAAGGTTCGACGTGTTTTTTCTGAGCTCGGCGATTTTTACAATGGAAGAATTGAAAAGTCAAAGAATTTGTATTAAATTTGCGTAAAAAATGAAATAAAGTGTGTGCAAAGTGCAAAAATTCACCAGATATGGCTCCGTGTGACTTTTTCCTATTCCAAAATTGAAGAGACCCATGAAAGGACGGCGGTTTTCCTCGATTGAAGAAATAAAGGCCGAATCGCTGAGAGTGCTCAAGGACATATCAAAAAAGTGAATTCAAGGGTGCTTCGAAAATTGGAAAAAACGCGCATGGCATAAGTGTATTATATCTGGGGGGGGACTACTTTGAAGGGGACCACATTAATGTAGACGAATAAATAAATATTTTTTTGAAAAAACGAAAATTCCGGGTACTTTTTGAACAGACCTCGTATATGCAGATTTCTGGTTTACAAAAAATTGACAATATCTTACCTAAAATAACGTTTTCCTTAAATCCACAACTAGCCAACTTGACACGAATAATGATCTGTCTATCAGGAACCATCATCGCAACAGTCCTGAACATGATTTTCAAATTCTCTGGTAACTCCTGTCGACCAGCATAGCCAGGATTCATGGTTAAGAACAAACCGAACTCAGGGTTCATAGATACGGTGTCACCATCACTAAAAATAATAAATAGATAGAATTTGAATTGGTACAAAATTGTCAATAAGTTACCTGAATATGAAGAAAGCCTTGTGTTCCTTCTTGGCATTTAATACAATGTAGATTTGCTGAGCAGCTACGGATAGCACCGGCAATTCTATTCTGTTGAATTCGTCAAAGCATCCCCATGTACCGGATTGGGCTAGACCTTTGTAGATGCGACCCAAACCTTAAAGAAATAAAAGAATCAGGAAACTGATTGCCTTATTTATTTACTTATTAACTTTCCAAAGGAGAAGTTAATGTTTTCATCAAAAAATCCGATTCGCTAATTTTATGTTTTCTCCTGGACGTTTCAAGCCATTCTGAATCGAATAACAACAAATTTAAGGAAAAAGTATGTGTGTTTGTGTGTGTATGTGTGTATTTGTCTGTGTGTGAACAGATTTTTTCAAAAATTTGTCAAAATTAGACCTTTCATCGTCGTTTTCTCAAAAACGGCTGGACCGATTTCAAAAATTTAAAAGACATTCGATGTATCTCGATGAGGACTAGTTAGACTTTTCGTCCAAATTTAAGCTCGTACTACCGAATCAATTTTGAGAAATCAAAAATTGTTCGAAAGATATTAGTCGAGAATGATACTGATTAGTTTTAGGTGAAAATCTACCGAGCCGTTTTCTATTAACTGTTGAAAAAAAAATTTAAGCCCATTTTTATGGAACTTTTTTCGGCGATATATATCATGGTCTTATAGAACTTACTGCAATATTACGGCCTTGCGATAAGTAGTTTAATTTTAAAAATTAATCAAAGTTTAAGAAAATTAGTAGTTTTTGAGGTTTGTTAAAATTAAAATTAGACGATTTACTTGGTATAACAATAAAGTACTTGGTATTAATGAACATACTAAACCATTATGGTCCTACGAAAACTGGTTCAATTATAAAAAAAAAATATTGATTTTTGAAAACTTCCTTTTAGAAATTACTTCGAGTTAACGTGTTCATTCGTTTTAAATGATGTGTAATAATGTGTAATCCATTCGGAAATCGTAATTATAATAAGGCTCAAGTCAATATTTTGCAAATTTAATATTATTTAATTAACTATAACTATTTTATCACTTATTCGTTTATTATTTAATTTATTTACTATAAACTTATTTATATAGTTATTATATTTAGTTTAGTTTAAATAGTTTGTTTATTGCAAATATTTTTTCAAAAATGTAATAAGTATTTTAATAAACTTTACAATACTGTTACAATATAATTGATGTTTTGTTTAACAAATTTTAGGTTATTTTATGATATTTCAACAAATTTATAAGTGTCTTATATTATAATTATTATTATTTTTTTTAAACAAATTGATAGGTATTTTTACAATATAAGTATTTTCTTTTACAAATGTCTAGGTATTTTAATGAAAGAAATATTTAGTTTCACAATGTTTAGGTGTTTTTAAATTATAAGTTTTTAGTTAACTAATTAATAAGCATTTTAACAATAACAATTATATAATAATAATAATAATAATTAATAATAATAGTAATTTAGAAGTATTTTTGCATTAGAAGCATTTATGTTAACAAATTATGTTGTGACGATCATAGTTAAGGCTAAAAGATTGAAATTATTTTTTTTGAAAATTAAATTTTTGAAAAATTTTGAACTACCCGTAGTAAAAATCGAAATAGAAATTTTTTTACATTTTTTCACGTTTTGAAGGTTTCTGAAAATTTTACTGGCATACCTCAGAAAAAATGTGTGTGTGTGTGTATGTATGTATGTATGGACACAAATTTTCGTCCATGTTTTCGGGCGCTCGGATCAACTGATTAGAATGGTTAAAAAAACATTCGATCCCTATTGATAGGGAGATGTGCTGATTAGTTTTTGGCAAAGGCAGGTCCCGCCATTTCGGAGATACGGAGCAAAGGGTGCAGAAAATACAAATCGAGTTTTTGAGAGAACGGAGTATTGGATTTTAATGATCTAAAAAACTTTCTGCTTGTGTTGACAAAACAATTGTTTTTGAGGATAAAAAATCATTACATCTTTTTTATTTTCCATAAAATATTTTTGTAATTTTGGATTAAAAGTTCAAAAAATTACCCAGGCTAAGCACAGTCTAAGCGCCACTCTGGTACAAATGTTTACCCAAGTGCGTTTAGACTGTTTATGTATGAAGCACTTTTCCAATTTTGCAAAAAAAGCTATTGAAAAATGTGAAAATGCCGCCAAGTTAAGCACAGTATAAGTGAAAATGTCGCACAGAATCATATGCAAATGCGTTTGGACTGTGACTATACGGGAGCACTTGTTCAATTTTGTGTAAATTAGGCAACTATTTTTTTTGAAATTGAATTCGAAATGAAATGACGATTATTGTTAATGTTCTGGAGATAAATTGATTTATGATTTATGATTAACATTTGATTTGCTCAGATATAACAAGATGGCAAAAATAATGAAAGTTACAGTATTTGTAATAATATATTTGAAAACGTTTAAAATTTCTCGAATAGGCACGATGCCATGCACCCCACTAATTTTCTGATTATTTTGCTCACCTCTAAAGTCCATCTGATCAGAACAATTGAACACGACGACCAATTTTCCAAGGGCACGACCCATGTCTTTGGTGGTCTCTGTTTTACCAGTTCCTGCCGGTCCTGCAGGAGCACCTCCCATGTGCATGCCCAAAGCTTGGGCCAGAGTCACATAACATCTAGGGAAAAGAAAAAAAATGTATCTTATGTACAACATCTAGGAAAAATAAAAAAAATGTATCTTAAGAAGGTAAATCTGCTTTTATGTCTAACCCCTGCACCAGAGCACAAGTTGCTAAAATCTCCTAGTTGATGTATTCCACGACAAATGTTATGGCAAGGCCATGTCACGCTGTGCAACTTGCCTACAGTATGCTACTGAATCATACTGAATACTGTCTAATAAATGTCATGTATTAGCTGTGCATTCAGGCGTTTTACTCATAAACTGCAACGTCACTCTATGTTATGAAGCTGAGTCAGAAAGACCCTGTTATCTATGATCGTTTACCCGAATCAAGAATGGAAAAAAATTATAGACTTTTGTGCAACGCCCTAATCACTGTTCTTCCGTTGGCTACTGAAAAAGTACGATCAGTCCTCGGGTCATCTCGGGTTAACGCATTTACTCTAGCCATGACTAGTGTTAGAAGTATCGAGGCAAATGATCGATATTGAGTACTTTAAAAAGTATCTAATCAAAATATCGATGCCAAAAAAATATCGAGGCGAAAGTATCGATAGTACTCAATATCGAATTTTGAGTACTTTTCATAAAAATCAAACATAAGTCCCAAAAAGATCTAAAACTCATTAAATATCATATCACAATATTAGAATGAATTCTATTGCTTGTATCCATGATGATCTAAGATCTAATTCTATTGATGAGTTAAATCAGAATCATTTTCAATATTGTAAATTGAAAATGCAAATTCTATATTTTTTTTAAAAAAAAGACAAGTTATAATAGTTGAGTATTTTTGATTAAAACAATATAATAGTCTGATACTATATTCAAAAAGCAATACTTTTTAAGTATTTTTGAGTACAATAATATTTTTAATATTTTTAAGTAAAATAATATTTTATAATTGTTGAATATTTTTATATGAATAATTTTATCGAGCATAACTTTAAAAAGTCGTTACATGTTTACATAAAAGTGCAACATGAAGCTCTTTGGAAAGCAATAAACATTCAGTGTAGAGAAACATCCCTTCGGAGCCATGGGATTTAAAGTTTAAATCTTTCCGAGAAACTCAAACCCATATGTTTGCATGTGGATAATCAAAAATTTCAATACATGAGTAATTTAGGTAAAAATGAATCGAAATATAATTATTTCAAATAATAATACTCATCCATTTCAATATATTAGTATTTTGCGTAAAAAAGAATCGAAATATAATTATTTCAAATAATAATACTCATCCATTTCAATATATTAGTATTTTGCGTAAAAAAGAATCGAAATATAATTATTTCAAATAATAATACTCATCCATTTCAATATATTAGTATTTTGCGTAAAAAAGAATCAAAATATATTATTTCAAATAACAAATTTATATTTCATATTTATATTTTATATACTATTTCAAATAAAAATACTAATTATTATTATTTATTACTATTTGAAATCATTATACTTCAATTGTTAAATATGTTTTTATAAAACATTTAAGGTTCTTTAAAAAGCCATTTCATTTTACATAAGAGTAATAAATAAACATCTTTATTTGTTAGTGTGGTCATATTCATTTTGGGTTTTTGAGCAATAAATTCTGAGACTAATGACCCTTCAGGATCATTTTTTGACACTTCTTTGAACAATGATGACCACCTAGAGAGACTATTGCATAGCATTTCGCAAAATGAGTGGTGTTCATAGTTGGTCGATGAGTGGTGTTCATAGATTACGCTGTCGATTCTTTTTGTGTACTATCGACGAAAAGAATCGATATTGGCAAATAGATCGAGCTAAAAAATCGATATCAAAAGTACTCACTATCAACCGCAAAGTATCGATATTTACTCAGTACTCGATATTTCGTTCTAACACTAGCCACGACACCGGACTTCCGTTGGCATACTCATTCTGTATGTCCAGACCTCGGGTTATCGCTGACACCAAAAAGTTCACTGAAATTGCAATTCAACCGTTCCTAGTCCTTTATTATTTTTCTATATCCTCCTTACCTGTCAGTAAGTGGTGTAACAGCCAAACGTTCCGTAACACCCAAATATTCATCTTGGTAAATAAAATCGACATCAGTTATCCCAACAATGACTTCATCAGTGTCTCTCTATATAAAAATCTGGCTTGCTTCTGCCACTCGAAGTCATTTGGTGATTTGATCTTCAGACGAACCATATCGTCAAAGATATCTCTGTAAAAAAAAAGAGTGCGCGTAAGGTTCACACGCGATTGAAGTAAAACTTATTTGCTAGTATACTAGATGACATTTAAGTAAAATTTATACATCATATAACAATTCTGAATAATGTTATTAGTAATATGGTAACACTCTCGTGATGCACACTTTATTAGTGTCAACATTATTCACATAAAATGATAAATGTAAAATTATATATTTATAATGGCATTAAAATATGTATAACATTCAAAAACAATAATGTAATTAAAGTCATACTTCAAATATGACATGATCGGTTTGTCATTGTAATTAGCATTAGGACTTCAACCTTCATTAGAGAAATTAAGTAATAGCTGATTAATAAATTCTATAATATTCGTTCACACAGTGGATTATGTTAAACAACGCCTAAACAAATATTGTTTTCGCAACTTCAATCATAATGTAATAATTGTGTTTGAAGAACTTCATGTAATTAAATTAACATATATTCATTGACTGATGAAAAATGTGATAAAACGTTATGGGTGGACAATCCTTGATGAAAATAAATAGTTTTTCGAAGTAAAAAGTTTCAGGTATTTTTCAATTTCAAATTATACAAAATTAAAATAAAGAAAATTGGTCCCAAAATTAAAAAAAATTTTAGGGGTGGACAACCCTTGATAAATATAAATAGTTTTTCGAAGTAAAAAGAGTTGTATGTATTTTGTCAATCTCGCATTAAACTAGTGGTGCATGGCATCGTGCCTTTAGGCAAATTGCTGGAACTTTTCAACTTCCCTAAGGAGAAGTTTATGTTTTCATAAAAAATCCGATTCGCTAATTTTATTTTTTCTCGACGTTTCAAGCCATTCTGAATCGAATGAGACTCTGAAATTTGGAAAAAGTATGTGTGTGTGTGCGTGTGCATGAATAATTTTTTTGCCGTAAATCGACGTTTTCTCAAAAACAGCTGGGCCGATTTCAAAAATTTAAAAGCCATTGGATGTATCTCGATGAGGATTATCGTTTGTCAGTTTTGTGCAACGATTTGCCGAGGCGTTTATTTGTAATTTGAAAAAAAGTGTTAAACTTTTCGTCCACATTTAAGCTCATACTACCGAATCGATTTTAAATAATCAAAAACTGTTCGAAAGTAATTAGTTGAGAATGATACTGATTAGTTGTAGGTGAAAATCTACCGAGCCGTTTTCTTGTTATTAACTGTTGAAAAAAAATTTAAGCCGATTCTTATGGCTTCTTTCTGGCGATATATATCATAGTCTTGTAGAACTTACTGAAATATTACGGCTTTACGACAAGTAGTTTAATTTGAAAATTCATTAAAATTTGAGAAAATGAGTGGATTTTTTTGACGTTTGTTAAAATTAAAATTAGACGATTTACTTAGTACTTGGTCTTAATGAACAAATTAAACCACTAAAGTCCTACGGAAACTGGTTCGATGATAAAAATTGTTGATTAGGTGAAATTTTGCTTTTAGAGAATACTCCGAGTTAACGTGTTCGTTCGTTTTCAATTATGTGTAATAAATTTACTCGGAATTCTTTTAATCACTCATAAATTAAATTATTTTTTATTGATTAAGTCGATTCTTTACACATATCGGGAAGTTCATGTAATTTGCCTTAAGGCAAAATACCAATACCAACTAGTTTTTCTACTCACCTCTGATGGACATGAATGGTGACCATGGTTTCAAATCTTATCCTGTCGATTTTGGTGAGATCCAAAATGGTCAATTCGATAAGACTGTTGAGTAAATCCAGAAAATCCTGGTTTGTTTTCTTCATGATGCCCTTGTCGACTTTGGCACGACGCAAGGCTTGTTCTGATTTGTTAGTCCATAGAATTTGGACGCCTACCAAACCAGCCTGGAGAAAAATAATTATAAACAAAATTTAGAAAAAAACTAGTGGTGTATGGCATTGTGCTTTAAGGCAAATTGTTGGAACTTCCCGTACCCTAATGAAATATTCGAGAAATTTTAAACGTTTTCAAATATATTATTACAAATACTCTGTAACTTTTATTATTTTTGCTATCTGTTTGTTATATCTGATTGTAAGCAAATCAAATGTAAATTATAAATAAATCAATTTATCTCCGAAACATTAACAATCGTCATTTCATTTCGAATTCAATTTAAAAAAAAAAAATAGTTGACTAATTTACACAAAATTGAAAAAGTGCTCCTGTATAGTCACAGTCTAAACGCATTTGCAAATAAATCTGTGCGACATTTTCATCTATACTGTGCTTAGCTTGGCGGCATTTTCACATTTTTCAAAAGTTTTTTTCACAAAATTGGAAAAGTGCTCCAGTACATAAACACAGTCTAAACGCACTTGGGTATATATTTGTACCAGAGTGGCGCTTAGACTGTGCTTAGCGTGGATCATTTTTTCAATTTTTAATCCAAAATTACAAAAATATTATTATATATGGAAAATAAAAAAACATGTAATAAATTTTTAACCTCAAAAGCAAGTGTTTTGTCAATACAATCAGAAAGTTCTTTGAATCATTTAAATCGGACGCTTAGTTCTCTCAAAAACTATCATTTTTTTAACATTTAGCTCTGTATCTCCTAAACCGCTGGGCCTACCTTTGCCAAAAACTAATAACCACTTTTCCTCGTCATTACGAATTGAATGTTTTTTTTGATCATACAAATTGGATGATCCTATCTCTCAAAAACTCGATTTCTATTTTCTGTACTCTTTGCTCCATATCTCCGTAACGACTGTACCTGCCTTTGCCAAAAGAAATGAAAAGAGTTTTGTATGTCCGCATTTTTTCGTCCACGTTTTCAGGCGCACGGATCATCCGATTTGAATGGTTTAAAAAACATTGCATCCTTATTGATAGGGAGATGTGCTGATTAGTTTTTGGCAATGGCACGTCCAGCAGTTACGGAGATAAAGAGCAAAGAGTGCAGAAAATTGAAATCGAGTTTTTGAGAGAACGGAGTAAAGGATTTGAATGATCTAAAAAACATTCAATTTATAATGATTGGGAGAAGAGGTGATTAGTTTTTGGCAAAGTCAGGTCCCGCCATTTCGAAGATACAGAGCTAAATGTGCAAAAAATGGCAGTTTTTGAGTGAATTAAGCGTACGATTTGAATGATTCAAAAAACTTGCTGCTCGTATTGACAAAACAATTGCTTTTGAGGATAAAAATCTTTTTTTATTTTCCATAAAATATTTTTGTAATTTTGGATTAAAAATTCAAAAAATTACCCAGGCCAAGCACAGTCTAAGCACCACTCTGGTACAAATGTTTTTGCAAGTGCGTTTAGACTGTTTAAATAATGAAGCACTTTTCCAATTTTGTTCGAAAACTATTGAAAAATGTGAAAATGCCCCCAAGCTAAGCGCAGTATAAGTGAAAACGTAGCACAGAATTATTTGCAAATGCGTTTAGACTGTGACTGTACGGAATCACTTATTCAATTTTGTGTAAATTAGGCAACTATTTTTTTCGAATTTGAATTCGAAATGAAATGACGATTGTTAATGTTCTGGAGATAAATTGATTTATGATTTACATTTGATTTGCTCAGATATAACAATAAGATAGCGAAAATAATGAAAGTTACAGTATTTGTAATAATATGTTTAAAATTTCTCGAATATTTCATTACGGTACGGGAAGTTAAAGCAATTTGCCTAAAGGCACGATGCCATACACCACTAGTTTTATTATCTTTCATACCTGTCCGCAAAATCCTTGAAACTGTTTGACGAATTCAAACTCCGGATCTGCCAAATTAACCGCCATATGAGCCAAGACGCCCTTTATGGATTCCCTCATGCTCGCCAAAAGATTTGTTAGCCAGTTTTCGACGCCTCCGATGCAAATGACGGGGTGTTCTAGATTAACCTATTGATATAAATAATAAAAATATGATATATATATATATATATATATATATATATATATATATATACTTAACACTATACTATTATCATATTTTTATTCATATGGGTTAGAACAGTGTTGCCAAGATGAGGACTAGAACACACTTTAAATAAATTTAATAAAAAATTCATATTTTTCAACACGAAACTATTTTTATAAATTAAAATTCATGAACAAGGATTTATTTTATAAAAATTAAGAAAGATATGATTTAAGAGAAAGTCGAAAAAATTGAACAATAAATTTAAATTAATTAGCTTTTTTTAAAGTAACTTACGGTTTCATTCAGGGCTGATTTCAAAGCAATGATTTTTTCGTATTGTTTCTCATCAAAATCAACCTGAAAAAAAGAAACTATAAGGAATATATATATATATATATATATATATATATATATATATATATATATATTGAATGGTAGAGTCTTGGATTTGTGTATATTTTGTAGAGTTTCGAACAAGAATCCAAAAATAATACAAAATAAAAAACAAGAAAAGTTTTTAAAAAAACAATTTCTTTATTTAATTATTTGTTTATTGTCGACGTTTCGGAACTAGGTACGTTCCATCTTCAGGACATCTGTCAAGAAACATGATCTTGATGAGATTTTAGCAAACAATATGTTTAGGAAAAGAAAATAGATTTTTCTTAAATAATGAATTAATTGCAAAAAAAAAATATAATAATGTACAGAAATATGATAATATGTTCAAAATGAAAATGATAAAAATGATAAAATAAATGAGTGGATTATCAGAACAGGATATTAAACATAATAGAAAATTTTTTGAAAGTTATGGAAATTTTTAAGAAAAGGTTAATGACAAAGTTGAATTAATTACCTGTATGTTTGAATATTTGTTAGCACTTTTTCACTAAACAAGCTTTTTTAACAAAAATGAATTTGTGAGTTAATTTTCCGCCGAATAATTAGATTTTGTAAATCAAAATTACTAAAAGATTTGTCTTTTTTAAAATTATTATTTGAAAACACAAATAATATTGTTCTCTGGATGTTGTTCGATTGGCTTTCGAAAATTAACTAATTGAAACTGGTGTGTCCTTTGTAACACGTGTAAACACTTGAACGAGAGATGTGAGATTGTATGTGTGTGTTTTTATATGTCAGGGTGTGAATACTTAAATTGTTGATCTTAAAAGGAAGTCGATATTAATTGTTTGTCAAAAAGTGTAAAAAATTTAAATATGAATCATGTAATAGGTTGTGATCTGATCTAATGTTGACACTGTTAGAAACATTTATGAGAATGAGACAACTCTCCGCGAATAACCTTCTAAAGATGCAACTTTCATGATATAAAATCTTTGGAGTGAAATTAAAAGAATGGGCGTTTTCTATAGAGTGTTGTACTAGGGTACTTTTGAAATTTTTTTTGTTTATGGTGGACCACACTTAGTTCATGTTGTCTCATTCTCTTGTGTACATATTGGGAGGTTTGTCCTTATTGGGAGGTTTGTATTATTTTTGGATTCTTGTTCGAAACTCTACAAAATATATATTTATGATATTGTTTGATATTGAATTGATATTGTTTATTTCTACTTTGAAACATATTATGATAAGGTTTTTCAGCCACAAGTCGAAAAAATAACAACAGAACGTAAATATAAATCTTCTTTAATACGTTTCGAGCTATTGTACTAGCTCATCATTCAGCTAAAATACAGAAAGAGTAATAAAATAAAGTAACAAAATAAAATAAAACAAAATTAAAATTATACGTACGAAACCAGTTTAAAATTATTTTATATAAAATTTTGTTCTAAAAACAACAAAATATATATTATATAGAATTTTGGAAAATAAAATCGAGTAATCGAAATATTTCGAATTCTGAAAGAGAAGAAGAAAAGAAAATATCAAGCGGTAAAAAATTGTTCAAATATTAAAAAAAAAACAGACTCACATACATTAATTAAATTTTGATAGCTGTCAAAAAGCAAAGAAGAAGAACTTCTCTTATTAACACATTGAGAATTTAACAAAATGAAAACAGATTCAGCAAACCTTCTTGGGTCAACAATTTAAACGGCTAAACCGATTTGGCCAGTCTTAGTCTTGACAAATTAGTGATAATCAGTAGGTTGTCGGAAAGGCGACATATTATTTCAGAATCGCGTAGAAACTTTACTTTTTAATTAGACAATTTTAGTAGAAGCGTAATTTGAATAAAACAATGGACGGTGGCTAATACGTCAAATGTCAAACGTTTTTGACAGATGATGTTCAATTACGTTTAATAGGATGTTTTACGTGAATATTATTTAATTATGATTGAATTGTAGTAAGTAGTTTTGTTTGTAATTTATAAGCAAAAACTTTAGTAAACGGGCCGCAAGTGTTACTAGAGGCTTAAAATATTAACTTTTTGAAATGTTAATATGAAAATGCACTTTGGCAATTTTTCTTAAACACGGTGCTCTGAAAGATCTCATTTATAAATTATATACTCATTGGTATTTATAAAACATTTTCTAGGTTATATTATTTTTTATTTATGTTATTTAAATACAGAACATAAATTTGGTATCGATCAAAGGAACATTTTGTCGAATAACATTTTCCCAGTTATAATTTCCCAGAATTTTATAAAATTTTATAAAAATCGGTCGAAATATTTTGGAGGAGTTTTGCCACTAATATATATATATATATATATATATATATATATATATATATATAATACCAATAATCATCGTTAAATAAGAGACGTGAAAATCTCTAAGTGAGTAAATACACAAAACACAACCTTGAATCTTCCATTTTACAATTTATATATATTTGGACAACGTCGAGCATTCCAACTATAAATAATATATATATATATATATATATATATATATATATATATATAATATACAATATAAATATATATGCAAATACATCAATGTATTTATTAAATATTAACATTGGGTTTGTCACACACATATTATTAGTCACATAATAAATGAATGGACAATTATTCCATCTTAAATATATATATATATATATATATATATATATATATATATATAATTATATATATCTATTTTCCTTAGTGGGGAGATGCTACATATATAAGAAAATTGCCTAATCTCTCATTGCAAAAAATGCGATCGTAACGAACGTTTTGATTTGGATGATTTTTTTAAAAAATAATTATGTAATATTAATAAAGTGATATTTTTTTTATTATTATTAATAATATAAATTATTATTAATAATTATTATTTTGTTGTAATTGTTTTCTGAAGTTTTAAATTAAAATGTATTTAAAAGTTGTGCTGTTTGTGTTTTGCTTTGGATTTTGTGCCATTGGACAAGGTGAGATAAAAAATTAATAAATGAATAAAAAATTATAAATGAACTAGGTGTAAGTGGTATTTAGACTTGAGGCAAGTTGCATGCACTTAAACGACATGTGTAATATTTGATTTAATCATAATATCATATTAATATATTAATTTATGAGTGAAATATAAGTATACAGAGTTGCTGTAGTGATTTAAAATGTTAGATCTATCAAAGCAGATTTTTGGATTTTGTAAAAATTTGCAAAACGTGTTAATTTTTTTAGTAAATAGTTCATATATCATACGTTATTGAAAAATTAACGCTTGCTAAAAATATAAATAATAATAATGTAGTTTATTCACGAGAAAGTCAAATAAATAAATATTTATTTGACAAGATGTAGGAAATATATATATATATGCATTATGGTGGTCCTTAATATGGATGATTCCGAATTTCTTTGCTCCCAGGGGCTCAAATGCTTCAAAATTGATAAAGAAAAATTCTCTGAAAGTTTTAGCTCTTAATATTAAATTTAAGATAGTCCGCAATCCTAGAAAAGTTTCTCGGTTCTCATTCCTAAGAAAATACTTATTTTATAAAATATATCAAATTTTTGTTGTACATTTTTTATTTGCGATCAAAATAAGCAAATGCAATGTTATTCTCAAAATTTTGATTCAATTGTCGCTAAGTTATAAAATTCTAAAAAACAAATGGAATTTTAACCATGTTATTTCCATAATAAACTTTGTTTGGAGTCTGGAATATCTTAAAGTCAATATTAAGACCTAAAATTTTCAGACAGATTTTTCAGCAAAAAAATTTGAAAATTTCCATATTAAGGACCATCCTAATGTACGCGGTTCATTTTCTAAAAGTGCGGCCAATTAATCTAAATGTTAATTAATTTTTATAATTAACCCATGATCAAAACACTTGTTCAAAAAAAAAGGCTTCAAAATTTTTGGTATGTTCATTAAAATCAAAAACTCTATTATTATATAAAATTTCATCAAAATCGCAATAAATTACAACAATTAATCACGAAAAAACATACTTTGGTAAATACTAGTCAGCACAATTTTCAGCTAATATCTTCAAAACAGTTTTTAAATTTTCAAAATGGATTGAATTTTTTGTTATAAAAGCGCGGTCAAAAAATGTTGCACTTTTCTGTAAATTCTAAAAAAATAGCTTTGCAAATCGGTTTTTAAATTTTTAACTTACTGTAAGGCAAGTTATATAAGAAAAGAAATTTTTTATATATCTTTACGTTTCAGCAGTTTCTGAACATTTTGGCATATCTTAGAAAAAATTGATGTATGTGTGTGTGCGTGTGTATGTGTGTGTATGTATATGCGGATACAAATTTTTGTCGACGATTTCGGGAGCACGGATCAACCGATTTGAATAATTAAAAAAAAAAATTGATCCGTATTGATAAGAAGACGTACTGATTAGTTTTTGACAAAAGCGTATGTGTAAAAAATGGCAGTTTTTGAGAGAACTAAGCATCCAATTTGAATAATAACATTTTATTTATATTAAAAAATGAAGAACTGATTAAATTTTTGGAAAGGCAGGTCTAGCGATTTCGTAGATCGAGTGAGAAAAGTAAAAAAATCCATTTGGCGGTAAAAACGATCATTAGACATATGCACATCAAATTATCAGATATTTTGTAAATATTTCAATAATCAGTACAAATTTTGTTTACATTCCTATGGTTTCCGTACTAATGTTTATAATATTTAGCCTTTAGACTACAACGAAGCGCTTACGCGCTTTAATTTTTCATCTACTAAAACAGCAGTGCGATTGCTTTGAAAAAAACTTGATTTTCAAAAAAAATTAAAATACAAAAAAATCAAATATTTCAAAAGAAGTCCAGTTTTTTAAAAAATTCAAAATTCTCAAAACAAATCTTATTTTTCTTTTAAGAGCTTTGAAAGTTATTTAATTACGGTATGGGAAGTTCCAGCAATTTGCTTTAAGGCACGAGACCATGCACCACTAGTTCGATTTGAGAAAACGTCTTCAAG